TGATGGGCATGCAATGGGGGGGATACGGTGCGGGGATACGGTGGCGGCATGGGGCGGGGGGTTGTAGGGGGGATGGCACAAAGAGGTGGAGGTGCATGGGATGATGAACAAGGGCAGGGAACGGTGCAGTGCGATGGGAATGGTAGATTCAGATAAGGAGAATGCGTAAGCCAAGGGAAGGGGGTGGAGAGTGGGGCAGTGAAGAGAGAGAGGCGAGGGAGGGTGCGAGCGAGGACACACCCATTCAGCGAGCGAGATCATGCCCTCAGTCTCCTTGTTGGGGTTGGGGAAGGTGGGTGGCAGCCCCGTGACCAGCTCCAGTAGCACCACTCCAAAGCTGACCACAGGCACGAGGGGTCGGAGGGGTGGAAAGGGGTCGAGAGGGGCGAACGGAGGAAAAGGCGGAGGTAGGGGAGGATGGCAGGGTGAGTGAAGGGTGCGAGTTTGGATGGTCACACAGAGACCACCCTGAGAAGCAGTTGTGCATGGCATGAACTGACGTGGCATGGCATGGCCCAGCATGCCAAGGGGTGCCGCCCATCACACTTGAGAGCACACCCCACCACACTACCAGAGAGAGAGCGCTGACCTGAAGACGTCGCTCTTGGTGGTGACTTTGAAGGTGCGGTAGTACTCAGGGTCCAGGTAGCCCGGTGTGCCCGCCACCTTGCTCGTCGCCGCATCCGCATCGTCCATGTCCTTGAGCAGCCCAAAGTCCGATACCTTCGCCTGCCACCCAGCACACGGACAAAACAAGGGAGGGGGAGTGGCATGAGGGTGGAGTCAGCTGGATAAGGTCAGGGCACTGCCGCTTGGGAGTGGTGTTTGCCTGCCCGTGTGCCTGAATTCATCCATACATGTGCCTGACTGAGCGAGTGACTGGTCTCACCTGCATGGTGTCCGTGAGCAGGATGTTATCGCTCTTGACGTCGCGGTGGATGATGGCGGGTGTGCCGAAGGAGTGCAGGTACTGCAGCGCCTGTGCCGTGCCCAGCGCTATGTCCACCCGCTGCTCAAACGACAGCGCCGCCCACCGCTCGCCCGCTGCACACAGCGAGAGTGAGAGGGGACGGTGAGGGGTTCGGACGAGAGGCGAACGAGAGGAATTTTAGGCGCTTTCAGAGCAACCCAGAGCCCGCTTGCTACAGGCAGGGAGAGAGAGGTTAAGGTGGACAGGGCGGAGAAGAGGCACGTGGCCTGGGATGCAGTTGTGTGTGGAAGAGGAGAGTGAGGGAAAGAGTGTGCAGGAGCAAGCAGGTCTGAGGAGAGAGACGCACGTTTGGGGCGGAGGTGCTGTGCGAGGGTGCCGTTGGGGACGAACTCGTAGACGAGGATGTGCTCCCTGTCCGTGTCACAGTACCCCAGCAGCTTCACCAGATGCCGGTGACTCATCTGCGATATCACACTCACCTGCCACCGCACCACCACGGGGACACGGGCCAAGGGGGGACAGGGAACGGGGGTCGGGGGGAGGTGGGGTGCGGGGAAGCGGAAGATGGAAAAGGGGGGGTGGGGATGGGGGAAGTTAGAGGAAAGCAATGGGGGGAGAACGGGTCAGGCTTCAAACCGAGGGTTGCTTGCACTGTGCCACTGACGAAACGAGAGAGAAGAAAGAAAAGCCACCGCGCGCGCTCGCGTACCTCTTTCCGGAACACCTGCATCGTATCCCTGGACACGAGCTTGCTGCGTTTCACGGCCCACTGCTGCCCGTCCGCGCCCTCCCCCCTGTACACCGTGCCATACGCCCCCGACCCCAGCTCCCTCTCCTCCGCAAACCCCTGCGTGGCTTCCGTCAGCTCTGCTAGAGACATTGGCCGCACCAGCTGCTGCCGTACACTCTCCACTAACGATAACCCTCCATTCCCCTCCCCTTGCCCCACTCCTCCTCCTCCTATTCCTCCTGCTGCTGTTGTTCCTGCCGCTCCCCGCGCTGCAGCGCCACCAGCGGGGGCGGTGGCAGGCGGGGGGGGCAGAGGGCCGGACGTGCGGGCGGAGTGCAGGGCGGAGGAGGAGGCAGATCCCGCAGCAAAGGCCTTGGTGTCGTCGCACTCGTTGCAGGCTGGTCAAGGGGAGAGAGGCCGGCGGAGTAGGGGATGGGAGGGGGACATGCCTTTGTCCTATCCTATGACACGTGGCCCACACCGGAATGTGTTTGGCAGCGAGCGTAAGGCAACGAACCAGGGCAACGGAGGAACAGAAGGGTACCGGAAGAGGAAGAGGGACGGAGAGAGGATGGAAAGGGTGGAAGATGTTGGGTAATGCTTGGCGTTGTACCTGCCAGTGAGCGGCGGCGGAGGAAGAGCAGGAGCAGCAGCGAGGTGAGGAGCAGGACCCCCACGACTACAGCGACGATGATCCACACCATGGCAGAACTCACCGCGGACTCGTCTGGTGAGGAAGGGGCAGGGGTGCAGGGAGGCACAGAGCACAGGCGAGAGGTGTGAGTAAGTCTTGAGTCGGCTTAAGCGAGGTGAGCAGCAGAACCCCCACGACCACTGCGACGATGATCCACACCATGGCAGAACTCACCGCGGACTCGTCTGGTGGGGGAGGGAGGGAGGAGGGGGGGGCAGGGGTGCAGGCAGGCACACGACACAGCAGGGGCGAGAGGTGTGAGTGGGTTTCGAGTCGGCCACGGCTCAACTCGAAAGAGGTGAGGAGCAGGACCCCCTCACATCTTTCGAGACCGCGGTCACGATTGTTCACACCACACCATGGCTGGACTCACTGCGGACCCGACTGGGGAGGGAGGGGCCAGGCGAATGGGCACGGGCAAGGGGGCACAATACAGGCGGGAGAGGTGAGTGAGTGAGGAAGAAAGGAGTGAGGCAACAAGTGAGGGAGTCAGGGATAGAAGTAGGATCAAGAAGCAAGCGAACATGGGGAGAGGAGGGGGTGTGTGTGGCGGGGCAGAGGGGTGCCGAGGTGAGCTGCAGTTTCATGAGTGTTTTACCTGAGGAACGTGGTAGCTCATGTGGGTCGTACCGGAGGGAGGAGGGAGGGTGACAGCTGGGGCAGGTGGTACCTGAGGGGGCGGTGCTGGAGTTGGCAGATGCGGATGCGTTGGCCGCTGCAAGCGGGCTCACTACTCGCGGGTCCTCCACTGCAAGAGCATTCACCACCACACCACACACACACATGCACAGGACAGCACAGCACACGCGTGGAGACGCAAGCGGGAGGGAGGAGGAGGAGAGGAGCATTCACAACTCGGATTCGGACGTGCCTCAGTCAGTCAGGTCATTGTGAGCGACAGCACAATCCTACAAACGCCTTGAGCTTGCTTATCATCGTGCATGCCACACACACACAGCAGGCCATGCTCATCTCACCCATCTCCTGCACAGGCCTGAAGAAGTGAGGCGCACAGGCAGCAAGCAACTTTCTAGGAACTGGAAAAGGGCAAAAACTGAGGCGATTTCTGCAGCGCTTTCCCAGGCGCCCTTAGAAATCACTATCCACGTGCCAAAGCCACAAAGCACGTCGCTATGCTCACCCATCTCCTGCACAGGCCCGAAGAAGTCGAGGCGCATGGGCAGAGCAGCGCGCAGCAGGCGCAGCGAGGCCTTGAGCTGTGCGAGAGCAGCGTCGGGGTCAGAGAGCGCAGGCGGGTACACGTGCACGCGCACCCTCTGCTGCGATGGCGCCACTGCCTCTGCCTCGTGCATGCGCAGCTGTGGGGAGAGGGCGGGGGGCATAGAGTCGCAGGGTGGAGGCGGGCCAGTGGGAGGGGGAGATTTTTGAGACGTCTCAAAAACACCCTCATTCCGCGCATCCTCTGTTGGGATGGCGCCACTGCCTCCGCCTCGTGCATGCGCAGCTGTGAGGGTGCGCACACAGAGACGCAGGGCGGAGGAGGGCCGGTGGGGGGGGGGGAAATGGGGAGGGTGGGGGTTTGAGGAAGGCAGGGCAGGAAGGTAAGTGAGGAGGATGGGGATACAACACACCTGGGGCAAGTAATGCTAGTGTGCTGATACAGGTGGTGGTATGGATGACGGTATTACGTTCACACGTGAACCACCCTAAAGGCGTTCAAAGCCAGACCACCCCACCAACCCATCCTCTCCCGCCCTACTACCCCCTTCCATCCACAATGCTGTTCTGACCGCCCACCGTACCTGTTCCCGAGGCATGGAAACAGCGTCGGCAAGCGCAGCCTGCAGACGTCCCGCCACTGCACCATTGAACGCGGCCACCGGCGGAACAAGCAGCAGCAGATCCAGAGCAGCCACCGGCACGCACACACACACGGCCCGCGCCGCATACACAGGTGGTGAGGGTGCTAGGGCGTCGGACTGGCACGTGGTGTTGATGCAGGCAGGCACGGGGATGCCGGTCCATGAGAGCTGGTCTTGCGAGGGCGGGGAGCATGCTGCTAGGGAGGCTGGCGATGGGTCCTGGCACACCGGGTTGTCTGCTAGGCTGGTTCGCGTGTATGAGGGGAGAGGGGGCGTGGGGGACGGAAGGGGGGTTTGGGGGATGGAGGGGCGGTTGGGAAATGTAGGGGGGTAACAGATGGAGGGGGTGAGACATGGAACTCAGGAGCCCAGCAGAGGCAGCAGATGGTGGGGAGAAGTGGGCACGATTGAAATTTTGTGAGGAGCAACGCAAAGCGAAGCAGTAGGAGCGAGAGCGGGTGTCGAGATTGAACAGGAGAAGGGGCAGCGAAGGGCAGTGCAAGGAGAAGGGGGTGGGAGGAGGGAGGGAGGGAGGGAGGGAGGGAGGGAGGGAGGGAGGGAGGGAGGGAGGGAGGGAGGGAGGGAGGGAGGGAGGGAGGGCGGGGGGGAGGGAGGGAGCTCAGGAGGGAGGGAGGGAGCTCGGGAGGGAGGGAGGGAGGACTGACATGAGGCGCAGGGAGGAGTTGGAGAGCAGCTGCTTGGGCGTGTGCATGATGGCGTTGCCGTTGAACGCTGCCAGGTACAGCGCTGGCGACACTGATGTGAAGTCCGGGAGAGAGCCTGATAGCGTGTTGTTGCCCATCAGCCTGGGGACGAGGGGCGTTGTGAAGGTTTAGGGGCGGAGGCAAGGCGCGTAGGCGGGAGGAGAGGAGAGGGAGAGGGTGTAAGGTTGAGAAGAGAGTGGGAAGGAAGGGGGAGTGGAAGGGCAGTGGGAAAGGGAAGGAGGAAGAGGTGGAGGGAAGGAAGGGACAAGAGGGGGGAGGAAAGGCGTGAGGGCGAAGGAAGGGTGGAGGGCAGGGACGGGTGGAGGTATGAAGAGATGGTGGAGAAGGGGTTGTGAATGCGGAAACGGGAAAGGGCCGAGGGAAGAATGGACGGAGAGAGGAAACAAGTGAACGCTGTGAGGGGTGTGTGTGTGGGTTGTGTGTGTGGGACATGTGTGTGGGGCGTGTGTGTGGGGAGGGTGGTTACAGGGATTGTAGCTGCGGGGTGTGTGCGCGAGCAAAGAAGGAATCCACGTCGTCCTTTAGCCGGTTGGAGCCCAGATTGCTGCACACGTGGCAGCACACATGACATGACAGGGCGCACAGGATATACACACACCCACAGATGCGGAGAGGCACACACAGGAACACGCACGCAAACACACCAGCCCCACACACACCATGCAGAGATCAAAGGGAAGAAACGAAAAGGTCTTATTCGGAGATGGCTCTGCAGGGAAATGCAGCACAGCAGTCCGTGCTGCTGGTGCAATGAATTATGAGTCGCTTTTGAGTGCCCTGTACAACGGCACTTGCATGTATAGACGGAAACAAAAAGAAGAGGAAACAAGAACACTGACGAGAAAGGCTAGAGAGGAGTATCAGGGTTAGGGAGGCAAGAAAGTGGGGAGAGGGGACAGAAAGCGATGAAGAGGAGGGAGGGGGAGGCGAACCCACAGGAGGCTAAGGGCAGGGAAGAATCCCCGAGGCAGCTCTCCTCTTAGACGGTTGCCACTCAGATCCCTGGTAGGGTGGCGGGAAGGTGGCATGGCGGCATGGTGACATGATGTCTTGTTGACATGAGTAAAATGGATAGTGTGGTGGCACGTGGGTGGGTGGATGCCAGAGTGCGTGAAATAAGGACCCCGTGAGTAACAGGGGAGTGAGTACGTGAAAGGTGTGCGAGCACAGCGAATGCATGTGAAAGAGTGCGGGCGGGAAGAGCAGGCAGGAGCCGTGGCGGAAGGAAGGAGTTGGAGAGGAAACGAGGGAGGGGAACAGCGCATGCTAGGAGAGCCAGCCATGCAAGGCAGAAGCAGGGTTGAGCGTCAAGCTAAGGTATGGCGTATAATAACGCAGACGTACAGGAGGAGGAGCGTGGAGTAGTTGAATCGGTGCGGGAGCGCTCCTGCTATGCCTGATCGTGCTAGTGAGCTGATGCAGGAGGAGATGACGAGGATGGGTAAAACCGGGGAAAGTAACAAGGAGAGACATGGTGAATACGATGCGGTAAATGCATGAGACTTGCATAGGATAGAAGTGGGAAGGGAAGAGGAACTAAGACACAGCAAGGGAGGGCACTGTAGGCAGTGTGACTTGAAAAGGAGCGTGGCTGCGCAAGCGTGACCCTTACAGGATGGAGAGCGACGAGAGTGAGGCGAACTCGAGTGGGAGGGAGCCATTGAAGGCGTTGTCACTCATCTCCCTGTGGGAGGTGAACCGTGTGCACACATGCCATGCCATACGGGAGGGAGAGGGCACGGATGAGTCGTGCACTGGGAGGGGCTAATGAGTCGAGTCTAAAGTCAACTCGAGTGGGAGGGAGCTGTTGACGGCATTGTTACTCATGTCCCTGTGGCAGTTGAGCCGTGTGCACATGCCATGGGAAGGGGCCCACGGGGGATGGGGTTGGGGGTGGACGGACGAGAGCATTGGCACACCAGAAACGTACACACGGCAACATTGCATTGCATTTCATCACCACTTACAGTGCCGTAAGCCCTGTGATTGCAGCGAGCCCCGGCAGCAGCGGCCCTGTCAACGCGTTGTGACTCAACGACCTGCGGGGAACACGGAAGGAGGGGGGGGGAGAAAGGTGAGGTTGATGAGAGGGTAAGAGAAGAGAAGGGGAAAGGAAGGGACGGAGGCAGCAACGGTGGTTAGTGAATGAGGCAATGGGAGCAGCAGGGGGAGAGAAGGTGCAATCCACTGGTCATGAGGATGTGTGCTTGTGCACGTGCATATGTGTGTAGAGGGTCAGAGCAGAGGGAGCGGGGAAGCAGAGAGCAGTGACTGAGCGCATGCAAATATTTGTGTCGCAGTTCAAAAATTGCATGAGTGCGTACAGGTGCTGCAGGAATGAGAGCGCTTGCAGACTCGTAGGCAGCGGGCCCTCAAACGAGTTGAATGCCAGATTGCTGCACAGGGGAAGGTCGACATACGGGGATGGGGAAGAGCGGAGGGGTCAGGAGAGAACGCGCAGTGGGAAAAGGGCAGGGGCGACAGGAAGGGGGAGAGCGGGGAAGCAAAGATGGGACGACCAGGGGCGGATAGCAGACGGGTGGTGCTTTGGTAGAAGGGGTTCTGAGGAATAGATATTCAATGTGCGGGCGGTGTGAGGGAGGCCCACATGGCGGTGATTTGTCGGAGGTTGCCGATGGTGGTGGGGAGGCTGCAGGGATGCGAGACTGTTGTGACTCAAGTCCCTGTCAGGGAGGTCAAGCACGTAGCCAACAGCACACACACACAGATGGAGAGACAAGGACGTTCGCATGGCACATGGTGCAGGTTGCATGGTGCAGGGTACATGGTGCAACGCACATGCTGCATGGTGCATGGAGCAGGGCGCATGGATGGAAGGGCATGGCATGCAGTACTGACAGTGATTCCAGAGCCTGCAGGTTGCCCATGCAGTCTGGAAGAACCCCCGAGATGGCGTTGTGTGCCAGGGACCTGGAGTTACACGCACAGGCATGGGCACATGCACAGGCATAACCACAGGCACACGCACACGGTTGTGGGTATGGGTACAGGCACGCACGCAAGCACAGGGAGCACGGAGCAGGGGCGAGACATGAGCCGGCAGCATGGGACGGAGAGAAGCAACGGGGAGGGAGGCAAGAAGCAGAGGAAATGGCGAGCGGTGAGGAGGACGGCTGTTCTGGCCTTGCGCGCGCATATAGGACAGTGCGCATGTATCCACGTAGGCACATGGCCAGCATGAGGCAGACAAGTATCCACATGAACAAGCATGCACGTGAGCATGCATGGCAGGGTGTGACGTACAGTTGGCGCAGCTGCCAGAGGCCGCATAGCTGCGTGGGGAGCGTGTCTGTGAGCCCACTGCGCTCTATGGTCCTGCACAGGGGGGCAGCCAGGGGAGAAGGAGGCGGGAGGCAGGGGGAGGAACGAGGAAGGGCAGCGGGAAGGGGAGTTGGAAGGGGAGCGGGACTTGGGAGGTTGGACGAGCAGGCGAGGGATTGGAGCAGCGGCGACACATAACGAGGATACGTCACAGGCAAGTGACTTTCAGGATCCTCCTCATTCACGTTCGAGGCAAGTGCAGTGAGAGTGAGGATGGGTTGAGTGTGAGGGGACTGGGGCGATCATGCACGTTTATAGACAGGGAGAGAGGCAGTGGGACTTACAGCCTGGTGAGGTTGGTTAGGAAGCCCAGGGAAAGCGGCACCGAGCGGAGCCCACTCGCGAAAGATAGATCCCTGCATGCCATGCCATGCCATGCCATGCCATGCCATGCGGAGCAACAGAGGAAGGAGAGAAACATAAGGGGTGCTTCCATGCAATATGGGAAGTGGAGGCAGGGAGGGCGTGGGAGGGTGAGGGAAACGCAACAGTGGAAGTTGGATGTTACAGAGATAGCAAGCATAGCTAGGCGATGGCATGGTGGGATTCCGCGGGTGGGAGCGCAAGCATGGGAGGGCACGCACAGGGCGACGAGGTTGGTCCATCGATCCATGGAGGGGAAGTCCCCAGAGATATTCGCGTTTGCCAGCTCCCTGTGCGTTCCCGACACAGGAAAGGGAACACGTTGAGATGGCGGAGCGGGTCACACGTTGATTTGAGAGGGCACGGGAATGCGAAAGTGCACGAGAGAGTGCAAGAGAGTGCACAAGAGCGTGTGAGTGTGTGAGAGGGTGTGGAGTGCAAAGGGCAAGTGACAGTGCAAATCAGAGCAGCGATGAAAGGGACAGTAAGAGTAGGGAATGTGTGCGAGGAAATGGTCGGAGGATTGTGGCGGAGGGGGGTGTGGCGGAAGGGTGTGCCAGAAGGGGGTTGGCAGGTGGTGATGCTGGAGGTGTGGCAGGGGGCGTTTGCAGGGGGTGTGGCAGCACTGACAGCACTCGGAGGGTGGAGAGCAGAGTGATGCCGCGGGGAATGGAACCCTCAAACGCGTTGAAACTCAACGACCTGCCCCGCACACCGCCAGCAAGCACACACGGGCAGACAAACCACAACTGGTGAAGCGATGCCAGCAGCGACAGCCAGCAGTGGCAACACCAGTGACAGCCAGCAGCAAGCAGCACAGACGACGCAGCGGCACAAGCAACGTAAGGAGGTGCAGCAGGACTAGTGCACTTTGAAAGAAGGAGCGGGGAGAAGGGGTTAGGGGGCGGGAGGGGGCCGCAGAGAGGAGATAAAGAAGCGCCTGCATGCTGTGCGCACTCGTTCTAACGGCGTTCGGGAGACGGCAGGGAACTAGAGAAGGCAGCGAGGAGGCAAGGAGAGGGCAGGGAGGTGCGGCGGTACAGCGACTGCAGGTTGGTGGCGATGGTGAGCACATTGGGCAGCGGACCCGAGAAGCCATTGGAACTCAGCGCCCTGCTCGGGGGAGAGAGGGGACGCAGTGGCGGAGGGACAGGCGGGGAGGGAAAGGGAGTGGACAGAAGGGGAGGGGACGGGCGGAGAAGGGACGGATGGAAGGTGAGGGGAGATAGTGGCGATTGATGAGGGGTGGGGTGGGGGAGAAGGCAGGTTCGTATGTGGTGTTGTTGAGGTTCAAGACATGGGGTTGGGAGGGAAGTCATGGGATTGGAGGAAGTGGGGGACAGGGATGAAGGAGAGGAGCATTGCAGGCATGGAGGCAAAAAGGAAGTGGGGTAAGGGGGGATGGGGAACGGTGGGAGGGAGAGGGAAAGGGATGAGGGATGAGGGGTGGGTGGTGGAGTGGAGGCATAAAGAAGCGTGACTGACAGGGTCTGGAGGGTCTGGAGGCCGGAGAAGGAGTTGGGGATGGGTCCTGAGAAGTCGTTGCTCGTCAGATCACTGCACACATAGGCACACAGGCACACAGGCACATGCGGGAACAGCATGGCGCACAGGCACATGCGGGAACAGCATGGCGCACAGGCACATGCGGGAACAGCATGGCGCACAGGCACATGCGGGAACAGCATGGCGCACAGGCACATGCGGGAACAGCATGGCGCACAGGCACATGCGGGAACAGCATGGCGCACAGGCACATGCGGGAACAGCATGGCGCACAGGCACACACGCACAGCGAGACACAGCGAGAAGTTGAAGAGCGGCGGCCAACTCAGGAACAGCAAGGCGTGAAGTCTATTGAAACGGCAACTAGCTAGGACAATGGCACAGCATAGCATAGCGACGTGGATGGGAGTTACCTGCATGCAGCATACAAACGTGGTGTGTGCTCTGCCTGGTACCACGTTGGTACTACCTGGTTTGTATCCTCTGTTCTTGGGTGGCTATAGCATGGTTGCGAGTGTGCACGCGATGTGAGGGCACTCACAGGTCTTCAAGCACGGGAAGGTCGCCTAGCGCAGCTGGCAGGGAGCCGGACAAGTAGTTGAACGACAGATTGCTGCTCACAGCACGCAAGACACAGAGAGAGAGAAGAGAGAGAAAGAGCGGGGGACTTTTGGGGATGAGGGTTGGGGACAAAGGAGACGAGAGCGATTGGGGTTTCGGTATGGGCAAGACGAGAGCAGGAGACGCGGGCAGGAGGGCATAAATGCAGGAATGTGGCAGCTTAAGGCAGTGCGGTAGAGGAGGAATGTAACAGGTGACTGACAGGCTGCGCAGGTTGACAAGCGACGCGATGGCGTTGGGCAGGGGCCCTGACAGGCGGTTGTACGCGAGCGACCTGGTAAAGGGGGCGGGCGGACGAGGGGAGGCGAGGGGACGCGAGGTGGATGGACGAGGGGCGGCGACGTGGGGCATGCATGGGTATGGAAGGGAACGGTGCATATGTGGTTGTCTAGGCTTGCACGTGCGTGTGTTTTGCGAAACGCTACCCGCCGAAAGCTTTGAGATTCTCAAGGATCAATGATCGCGGGAGGGAGGAGGAGGCACTGACAGCGCGGTGAGGCGCGAGAGCGCGGAGATGCCGTCGGGGAGCGACCCCGTCACGCCCCACGCGCCGAACCCTAGCGGCGCCGCGCTCAGATCGCTGCGGGATGGCGCCGCGGGGAGGGACCACGTGGGGTTTTGGCGGGGTGAGAGAGTTAAGGAACGGAACAAGCGGGGTGAGGAGCAGAGGCGACGGAGAGTGAGTTCAGGGCGTGGGGAATGATAAACCCTGGTTGTACAGATAGTGTGGACATACTGTGGAAGGAGGTAGTGTGCGCGTGCGCAAGGCCGAGAGGAAAGGACATGGGTTCTGTAAGATTCGCGCTGATCCATGAGTCAAGGCAAATGGCATAACATGGCATGGCATGGCATGGCATGGCATGGCATGGCATGGCATGGCATGGCATGGCATGGCATGGCATGGCATGGCATGGCATGGTATGGCATGGGAAGGGTGGGCAAGGCACTGACAGCATCTGCAGGTTGGTGAGGAGCGTGAGCACAGACGGGAAGGAGCCGCGGAAGTAGTTGTTCGCCAGATTGCTGCAGCGCGGGGGGGGGGAGAAGGGGGGACACGCGGGGGGAAGGAGCAGGAGTAATGAGGCGGCGAGTGCTATGGCACGTGCCTATGAAACTGCGTAATTTACGTGCGTGAATGCGGTTTCGCGTGCGTGTGTGTGTGAAAGTGTGAGCGAGTGGTGTGTGCGCGCATGCAGGGTTCAGGCACTGACAGGTAGGTGAGGTATTGCAGCGACGAGAGGCCGTCGGGTAGCGCCGTCACGTTCGCCTTGAAGTCCCGCAGCGAGCTGCCGGCGGGGCAGGGGACGGCGGGGAGGAGCGCACGGAAGCATGGGGGGAATGGCGATGCGAGGACATGGGGAATGGTGACGCGAGGACATGGGGAATGGCGATGCGAGGACATGGGGAATGGCGGTGCGAGGATATGGGAATGGGGACGCAAGGGCGGGACGGCAGGGAGGAGCGCAAGGCAGCGTGACTGCATGCGCGAAACAGTGGATAAGCGGAAGGTGGTGGTATTGCGGTGCTTGGCTCTTGAAATCGGAAACACCCTCCGCACATTCATTAGAGCCACACAACACGACACACTCACATCGCGATCACGTGGCCCTGCGCGTTGCACGCCACGAACTGCCACGTGGAGCAGTCTCGTTGGGCGTCCCACGACTGCAAGCGACCATCGTGGTCGAAGATCTCCTTCATTTGCGCCAGCTGCGACGCTGGTGGGGGAGCGGAAAGGGCGCCGCGAGACACGCGGATATGAGGAAAGGGGTTGGTTAAGCAGGGTGAGGGAGTGAGGTAGGCAGGGTGAGGAAATGATTCGAATGATCTGAAGGCAGTCAGATATTATTTTGAACCATGGAAACTGATGACTCAAATCACCGGAGCGCCAACAACGCCCTTTACTCTCCCCCTCTTCTCCCTTTCCCTCTCATCCACCGCTTCCTCCTTCTGCCGCCTCGCCTCCTTCTCTCACAGCTCCGTGCGCGCACGAATCTGCGCTCGCGCGCGCGCTCTTCCGCCTCCATCAGCAACCTGCCTGCCCGCATCCCGGCTGCGCCGCCCTTCAATTTCCCGCCCTCCGCGCACAAAGACAGGCACGCGTGTGATCGCCCTTCAACCATATCTCCTCCTTCCTCCTTCGTTCGCGCCTCGGCGCCCACGCGCACACACGCAAGCCAGCCCTTCTCGCTGCACCCTCGTCCTCCCACGTCCCCGCTTGAGTCCCGCTCGAGTCCCGCCTACCTTCTTGCGGTATTCCCACGATGCCGCTCCTCTCCGCGCCGCCCACCGCCGTCCACTCCGCGCCTTGCTGCTGCTGCCACTCCTGCAACGAGTTGTCGTGCTGCCCCAAGCTCTGCTGCTGCTGCTGGAGCTGCTGCTGCTGCAGCTGCTGCTGCTGGAGCTGCTGCTGCGAGTTCTGCCCGTCTTGCCCGTTTTGCTGATTCTGCCCGTTTTGTTGAGACTGCCCGTTTTGCTGATTTTGCTCGTTTTGCTGGTTCTGCCCGTCTTGCTGGTTCCCGTCTTGCTGGCTCTGCCCGTTTTGTTGAGACTGCCCGTTTTGCGGATTTTGCGCGTTTTGCTGGTTCTGCCCGTCTTGCTGGCTCTGCCCGTTTTGCTGATTTTGCTGATTCTGCTGGTTTTGCTGGTTCTGCCAAACCTGCGACTGCTGCGAATTCTGCGACTGCTGCGAGTCCTGCGACTGCTGCGAATTCTGCGACTGCTGCGAATTCTGCGACTGCTGCGACTGTTGCGAATCCTGCGACTGCTGCTGCACTACCGTCGCCTTGTTCCTGCTATTTCTCCGCCCCTCCACAGCCCCTAACCGTCTGCCCACTCTCCTACCAACCATTTCCATTCCCTCCCATCCCCCGCTCCCTCTCCCCGCGCCTATCCCCGCGTCTATCCCCGCGCATCCATCCCGATACCCATCTCCAGCAACTCCCTGTCCTGGAAGAGCGGGAGCAGCAGCGCGCACGGTGTGCGCGCAAAACCCCAAGGGGCCCAGCGCCAACGGTAAGAGGAGCAGCAGGAGCCGCACGGCGGACCACGACGGCAGCGGCAACAAGGTCATCGCGCCGTTACACCAGCCACTGGAACCGCGCAGTCTGCTCCGCTCTAGTCTGCTGCTCGGCGCGCAGCGGACGGGCCGGAGCTGCCGGATAACGTCTGTTTCCGCGAAATCCGCGTTTTTCTTATTTGAACGTGCCAGTCTCAGGCGGCAATCCAGGCCGTCCACATCCCGACCGTTGCGCGGCCTTGAGTCGCAAGCCGCTGCCCGCAGCCAGCCGTGCGGATCGACTGCGACTCCACTCGCCGCAATCCCTCCGAAACCTCCCATCCCTTCGATTGCTCCGAACCGCTCAGTCCCTGCATCTCCACCGTCCTCAGTTTCTCGCTCGCGCAGCCAGCGCTGGTCGATTTCCTTTGGACTTTCGGCGTCTGATTGGCGCGGCTGAGCGAATGGCACCGGCAGGAACCGGGAGTGCGAGGACGTCGGCACTAAACCGTGATGCACCTCGAGGTCCCAATCGTCTTCCTGTGTGGCTTCTCTAAGCTCTCGAAAAAAGGTATCTACATGCCCTGTAGCCTCTACTCTACCCTCGTAATGTCTAGCGCCCTCACCTAATCTCCTCACTAGTGGACCCCGCGTCGCGCTATCTACCCGCAATCCGTTGGGCCGTTTCCCCAACCCGCACCCCTTATCTTGTCTCGCAGCGGCATGATTTTCTTGATCCACTCGTTCGTGTTTTGGCCGTTTCGTCTCGTTTCCCCCCGAGTGAGACTTAATCATAACGGGCGAGAGCCGTCTTTCGTGGGCGGAGTGACCTAATAGTAGTTTGAAAAAACAGCGGCGAAGCCCCACCGGGGCGCATGGCGAGGGGGAATCAAGAGGATGTGGATATTCGTCAGGATTGATAGAGGTATTCAGCACGGGCTACAGATTAACGGTGGGGATGTCGTGACAGCGGACTATGGTGATCTAGGCGGCAGTTGCTGAGATGCGCTCGACAAAGATAGTTGCTATACTCGCGTCGATAAATAAGAGGCTCGCTTTCCAACGCTAGAATGGGGAACGCATGCAGAGACGTAAGACCTACGAGCTCACGAAGCGGAGGAGCGAAGCGAAAGATGACTAGGCCCTCTGTGAGGCTCGTAGCGGAAGCTCCGCTCTAGCTAACAAATGATATGAGGGGTGGGATTGGCTCTCAACGAGAGAAAAGAGTCGTCGTGACCGTGACGTTCATGTGAACCATGGTTGCCTCCCTTCCCTGTCAATCAGTTGAGCGGAGAACTGGACTGTGAGTCCTAAACTCTGGACTACCCCCCCACGCAAATCAGAGCAATGGCTGCTGGTGCGCGTGCGATGCTCCATTCTCCAGCCATCTCGTGTCTCTCCCCTGTCATATCGGCCATGGGCTGCAAATCATGCATTCCCTGGCAACAATTTGACTCTGCGAAGGCTTCACGAGATCGCGAGACATCTGTAACGACCTCAATAACTTCGCTGCCAAAGAAGGCTCGGCAGTGCTTCTCCGCTCGTCTCTCCGGCATCCGGAAAGCGCGGGGAGTCCTGCTCAGTAGGGCTCGAATCGCAACATTTTAGCGGTTCGTAATGTGTCATCCTGGTTCGTGCAACACGGCTCGGTTTTCGTCTTTCCCAGTTCCCCAAACCGACATAGAAAAGTCTCACAACAACTGGAAGATGGCATCCCTGCCAACATTTTTCACGAAACCGCGTCGCCATTCAGACGCCGTCAAACTCTGCCGAACCAGAGTCCTTGGTGCGGAAGCATGGCAGTCAGACAGATCCGTTCGTTTCGCGCTAGACACCCGGCAGACGGCTGAGATTAGGCACAGCAAATTTTGGACCTTCCATCGACGACTCCCGGTGACTCCTGAGGTTTTCAAGCGACGCTCGCAGAAACTCGGGCCGCCAGTGCGATTTGTGGGTGAAAGTGCATCAACAGCATAGATGTGTATATATATTTTCCCTTATAAGTGACTCATACATAACAATGAAGCCTTCAAGCCCTCTCCTGGGTGGTTCTGACTGTGTCTGTGTTCTTAAGTGTTCATCTGTCAGCATGTTTCTATACCCAATCATAAATGGTCAAGCCAGCGCAGGACCCAACATCAAGAAACATGTTCGGCCACAAAGCCTCCAACCATATCATTCCACCTTTACCATCCGCCTGCGTTGTAGAAAGCGCCGCATTTCGCGAATGAAGGCTACTGCTGCGTGTATGCCCACAGGGAAAAATAGGGGCTGGGATGCGAAAAGAGAGGAGAATATTAGGGCAGCTCCGAACAGCGAGTGACTGTGAACACATTGGAGGAAAAAAGGGAAACAAACAAACAACCATGAAGGAAGGCATTCGGACTATTTCATCTTCTGCGCAGTGCCGCCACAAGCTAATCATTTGATGGAGTCCATACTACAAGGTTCTTAAGGAGCAATCCAAGGCAAGCACGTACGGTGATGGTAAGGCGGAGAAGGTGATGGAAACCGAAAGGAAATTTAAAGGAGCCGGAGGAAAGAAGAGGGGTATTTATTGACAGACTGGAAAGGGGAGGGGGGGGGGGGGGGGGGAGGAGAGGGAGAGAGAGAGAGAGAGAGAGAGAGAGAGAGAGAGAGAGAGAGAGAGAGAGAGAGAGAGAGAGAGAGAGTGTGGGCGGGGGGGAGGTAGGGGGAAGGGGGGGCGGAGGTACTAACAGAGTAAATTGCAAGGTGATGCTCAAGCGGGTAGAAGATTCCAGCCTCCATGCTTGGGTGGAATAGAGCAGCATCCGCTGCCAGCTTCGCCCTCCTCAGTGCTGCCTGCGCTTCATCATACCTCCCCTCTCTAGCTGCCTCCCTTGCTGCTCGTGCAGAGGACAGAGCAGAGTAGACAAACTCGCTGATGTCATCGCGCACAACCATGGACGGCAGTGATTGCACGAGGGCGGCAACGGACGATAGAGATGCCGCAATGGTTGCTTCATCTGCCGGGAGGCGTTGCCGCAGGAGAGAGTCTACCTCCCACTCCGCCACTCCCCTCAGCCCTGCTGATAAACTGCGTGCGCCCACTGCTCCTTTACTTCCCTTACTGCTTCCCCTGCTGCTGCTGCTGCTGCTGTCAGCGCGCGGGGAAGCAGGCGAAGTGGGGCAGAGTGCAGGTGGAGTGGCAGAGAGACCAAAGAGCGACCTCAGTTGGGCTATCGCGACGGCGAGGACAGGGGTGAAGGCAGAGGGCGAGAGGACGTGAGGTGAGGCATATGATGGTGCGTCAGAGGAGGAGGAGGACGAGGAGGAGGAAGGGGCGGAGCAGTTGAGGGGGTTAAAGAGGATCACAGAGCCCCAACCAGGGGAAATGAACCCTGAAGGAGGCACTGCTGACGGCTCCTGACGGTGGCCGTTGTTGTTGCTGTTGCTGCCAAGTGTGGGCGCGTGTGTGGCTATGGTGAGGGGACAGGTGGCGAGAGAAGGAATGTAGCTGTAACAATGGGAGGAAAGGGAAGAAATGGTCGGGAAGAGTAAAAGGTTTGAGCAACAAAGGCTTGATAAGAAGAGGGAAAAGCAGATGACCTGTTCGTCGAAGTGAAAGTTATCAATTTATCGCAGCAAGACAAACCACACGCTTATCACATGCACATTAATCCTGCGACAACCAGAGACCCACGACACAAAAAGCAGGGCTACTCACACAACAACATGCAGCAGCTTGGACCGGCCATGGGCCATGAGCGGCAGCGATGCATGCAGATGCCATGTGTCGGCATTGAGCACGAAGGGCAGGTCAGACGCCTGCACCTCATGCACCCCCGCACGCTCGTTCCACCTCGCTGCTGCTGCCATTGGGGCAAAGTAGAGCACCTTGGGAGGAATGACGGAGGGCGGAGGCAGGAAGGAGGGAGGGAAACCGGCGGAGAGAGAGAGGAATAAAAAAGGGGGTCAAGATGGTAAAAGCAGGGGGACAAGGGAAGAAGGTAAGGGAGGGTGCTGGGCGAAGACCAAAGACCACAGCTACGATGGGAGAAAAGGCGTGTGCCGAGAGAAAAGGTAGATGAGCAGGGGCGGACGGGAGAAGGGGAGTAGGAGCGAGGCGGTTGTGAGAGTGAAGGTGCATTTGGGCATGTATGTGTTGTGTCACCTTTGAGATTTTTCAAGCGAACGAAGGCGCACCTGGCTGTGGAAGTGGAGAGTGAGCAGCGGGCTGAATGCGGCTTGCAGTGGACGCAGGAGAGACGATCGCAGTGATGGGAAATTCCTGTGGAACAGATTGGAAGGAAGGAGGGAGGGAGGAAGGGAGAGAGCGAGGAAGGGAGGGAGGGTGAGCGGCAGACATAGCAATGAGAACAACAAGGACGTCATGTTGTGGCAGTTAAAAACAACAAGGAGCAACACACCTCCTCCATCCAGGATACTGCTCTTTCTCCCCTCCACACCCATTCCTTCCCCCCCCACTCCTCCCCACCACTCCTCCCCACCATGTGTGCAGAAGCAGGCACGTCTGCTTTGCACGCACCACTGGAAGGTCCACTGGTGTGGGTCGGCATTGAGCAGGCTCCACGACACACTCACTGCACTGTCCGGCCCTATGGGCAACTCCGCCCTGCTGCTGCTGCAGCTGCTGGCGTTGCTTGTTGGTGGTGCGTCGGCAGCAAGCAGTGACGCTAGAGATTGCACTGCCATTGGTGCAAGCAGCAGAGGGAGGCCTGTGTGGCCTTGACGGTGAGACGAGGAAGAGGAGGACGAGGAAGGCGAGGAGGAAGAGGAAGAGGGGAAGGTCATCCATGCATGTCTGTGCTTTCCCACCACCACCTCTCCCAATTCCGATGCACACATAGGCGTCTCCCTCCCCTTCCCCATCTCAGCCCCACTCCCCCTTCCCTTTGGCCATTCCCGCTGCCTCTCGTCTCTTCCTTCTAACAGCAGCAGCACATATCGACCACCCCACTTTTGAGTCCGAACCACAGGGTCCCATGGGGGATTGTCGGAAGGAGATGCGGATTTTGAAAGATTAGAGCGCGAAAACGCGCTCTGGATTCGTCCATCCAGCCACGTGTCAAACTCCGATTCGCTGAGCTGTGTTTCCGCATCCAACACCTGTGCCCAGTCTATATGGCAAGGCCAGCCTTCCCCTGGCAATTCTGCTGGCGGTTCAGCTGCTGCTGGTGACGTGGCGAGAGCTGATTGGCAGGCAGCGGCCCGGACAGCCCACAGCCTAACAGACCTTGCCTGCTTGCTACCACACAGTGCAGCGTCGTTGGGTGAACTGAGGCTATGGCCGTGGGCGGGTGCGTGAGGGGAGCAGAGGGCAGAGAGAGACGTCTTGGCTGCGTCCTGTAGTTGGGACGTGGGGAATAGACGGGAAGACGATTCTTGCTGCTGCTGCTTCTGCTGCTGCTCCGTCTGTTGACTGGACGGCGGAGATTTGAGCAGGAAGATTACGTCCACGTGGATGGGCAGGGATATGGGGTGCGTGGTGACGTCATCCGCGAAGCTGCTGATGTCAGCGAATGGCAACGGCGCACGATACACGCGTGTGGTGTACCACCAGACAGGCAACCCTGCGAAGGGACAGAGGGCAGGACAGGGGTGGGGGAAAGAGAGGGAAATGGGTAACTGCGGTTGAAACACACAACGCGCAACGGCATGTTGGCTATTAGGCGACTTAGGACGAGAGTGGGAACGCGCGGATGGGCCCGGTCGGACGGCAAAGGGAGACTGCGACGGGAGGACCCCCTTCCGCCTGGACGTCACATGGCGAACCTGTTGCGAATCACGGTGAATTACGGCGACACAAGCTTTCTGATTGCTGAACAACTCTAAGAAATGAGGCAACCGCGTCGGGCGTGGCGAGTACGCGCAAGAAAGCGGATAGATTAGGGAAGGGGCAAGAACGTAGTAATAGCTCTCTTTCTCTCTGCGCTCAAACTAGCCACTTGCTAATTGGGTAAAACAACGCACACAGCAGCAGCGACACCGCTATCGACCCCGTCACCAGAAGCCGCGTCCTGCCAGGGGAGGCTCCGCCGCTCCTCTCGCCTTCCGCCGATGTCCCTCCGCCCGCGCAGGCGGACTTCTCCGCCGAAGCTATACCCTCTGCGTCCTCCGCCGTTACCATCCCCGAAGGAGTTCCGCCCTCCTCCGGAGTGACGCGCTGTGCGTACATTTCCTCAGCGAACGATGAGATCCGGGAAGAACGAATTTACGCAATGCTGTGAATTTGTCTTGATGAGCAGATGGCGTTAGGACAGAAACTTATCATCAGCCGATGATGTTCGTCTGATGTGAAGCACGAGCCCTCTTCCACCCCATGAATTCACGGTTGCCTACCGTAACTTGAATTCGCATCCAGTAGCTTGAGACGTGGTTTCGATTCGACTACACACTCCGACACCAAGTACCAGTAGTCAAGGGGGGTAAATGCAAGTTCACTGTGGCGGGGTGAGATTCTGTGCTCTTTCAAAAGGTTCGCTGTAAACCTAGAACGTTCAAGTAGGGTACAGATGAACTCTGAAGTGTGGGTTGCTGTAAACCTAAAAAGGCTGTGTGAATTAAGTTCTCCTAGGTTTTCCCAGGAGAACATGATGCCTCTCAAATTGTGATAATTAAATCTGGGTTGCCAATTCGCAGCAGCTGATTTTGGCCAGAAGAAACACACATCATTGTCTAGTATTTCAGATTGCTGCAAGATTCTACCCCCTACCAGGGCTGATGTTTCAAAAAAAACCACTCTGAGGCAGGGGAGAAAAAAATTTCGTTTAGTCTGAGGGTCATTTCCCAAGTTCTGAGTACTCTGAAATGTCAGGTTTGAACAAAACAATAGTCTGAAAAGTATTAAGTTAGAAAAAACGCATTCGAGTTGGTTAATAGCGAATATCTGTCAAGCGAGTTTGGCCTAGGGAAAACGTTGCGGAGTTGGCGAGAAGCAGGAGTAAGAGGGGGCGGGGGAAGGGGGAGGGGGGAGGGGGGCAGGGGGGAAATTGAATGTAATTCGAGAGAGGGGGAGGGGGGAGGACTGAAGTTCGGCAATTTCAGGGGCCATACTCCCTGTAGTCTCGAGTCTCAGTATCGCACAATGAAGTACTCTGAATTTTTCAGAGTTGAAAAACTAACAGGTCTGAGGCCTTCAGAGTTCAAAATACAGGAATACTGAAATTTCAGGAAAGGCAAAAAAAAAGAGTCTGAGATTTCAGACAATGACTAAAATAGTCTGATAAAATCAGCCCTGCCCTCTACCTATATTATTGCTACAATAAGTGTACACTCTGTAAAACATTAATATAAAATCCTAAGGTACACTGAGCCAATGTAATTGTGTCTAATCCTATCAACCACAGGTCCACAGCTACTCCATGGCAGCATGCCATCCATGCCCACCCCGGCATGGACTGGCAATGCATTGCACAGGCAGAGAAGAAGGCTGAGCCTTGAGCATTGCCAGGACCAAGACGTGCGGGTGCCCTACTAGGGACTGGCTCTGCTCACCCCCACCCACACCACATGACATCACTGATGGCCAGACAGCTTTGTCATGTGGTGTGGGAGGAGGGGGACAGAACCAGTCCGGTTTGGCCCGGAATCGAGTCCCCAGCCAATGCTCAAGGCTTCAACCCCTCTCGTCTCGTGCACTGCCTACCACCTGCATGGTACAAGAGACAGATATTAGTCCAGGCTCTTTAAAAACAGCAAGGATGCAGCATGCGTCAAAGCAAAATTATGAACCCAACTAAACAAAAAAGAATCAGCAAATTGACTCAGTGCGAAGTAAAGGGCAGAGACTTATCTGAAGTTAAAGAGTTGGAGGTGTTGAGCAGTGCGCAAGGACTTGGAGCTTCATGGGAGTGCAGAGAGCCCTTGAAAAGAACCTGCCACGAGGTAAATAAACAAAGTCAGTGACTGGCATCATCTTGAAAGGACAGCAAGGGTGAAAGCAAATGGGGTAAGCAGTGTGGGTAATGCGATAAAGCAACGGAAATGGCTGGGGTTGAAAACTTATCTCGCCATGGTTGACCGTTGAGGGGCGAGAGCAGGCCATGGTGCTCCCATCCCATGGATCTTAGGCTTGGTGGAGGGTTCAGCGATGCACAAGGTCTTGGCGTGTAGATGACGCTTGGAGAACCTGCCATGAGGCGAAATAAACAAGTCAGTCACTGGGGAGTTGAAGCACAAGGAAAAACGTGGAAGTTCGTGACTTAAATTCCATGGTTGTTGAGCCTTGAGATGCCTCAGCAGGCCATGGTACATTCATGGATCTTGATTCTTAGGCATGCTGAAATATCAACCTGCAAGTGGAGTAAAAAAATCCAGAGTTAGAAAGGAATAGTCAATGAAAATAAATGTGAGAAACGAAAACTGTGGTGCAAGTGTGCACTGCCTACAGAGCCAATACAAAAAAAAAAAACCTTAGGGGGACCTTTACCAACCTCAACCTTCACCTCGACCTGAACCAAGGGGGGGTGGCTCCGAGGAGTGTGGAGTGGGTGGCTGATACCTTCAACCTTCACCTGCCCTGGAGCTGCTCCTCTGTTGTACGCCACGAAGCATGGAAGGCCCTTTGAAGTCATCGCAGCAGACCCTCAGATAGAACCTGCAGGTTTGACAACAAACAAGAATTAGTAAAGGAAGGGCAATAAAGCATGCAAAACGAAAAGAAACGTGGAAAAACAGAGCCAAATACCAACCGAAAAACCTTCAGGGGGAACCTTTACCAACCTTGACCTGTACCTAACCTTAACCAGGGGGGGGCTCTGTGAAGTATGAAGGGTGGGTGATACTTTAACCTTCACTCGTGGAGCTGCTCCTCTGTCATGAAGCATGGAGAACCCCGAAGGCCTTTGCTCCTCTTGAGTCTTCGGAAATACGCCTCGCAGCCTCCATTAGAACCTGCGAGTAGAGAAAAAAACACGTAGTTAGTATACGGAATTTAAGAAAGCATGCAGAAAACGACTTTGCGAAGTGAAGAAACATGTGCTGCCCCACCACAGAGCCAGTACCAACCTGTACCAAAAAAAAAAAAAAAAAACCTCCTGGGGACCTTTACCTAACCTGTACCGAACCTTTACCAAACCTTAACCGGGGGGGAAGGCTCTGTGGTGAGTGGTGGTGCAAGGTGATACGTTTAACCTTCACCAGGACGACTCGTGGAGCTGCTCCTCTGCTCCTCTGGTCGATCGATGACACTTCAGCCACGTCGTAGCTGGCGTCGCGACGAGGCCGAGGACGCCTTGAAGAATGGAGAGCCACGAAAGCTGTTGCTCCTCTGAAAGCTTCGGAAGTACGCCTAGCAGCCTCCAATAGCACCTGCAAGTATAATAAATAACACGAAGTCAGTAAACGGAAGTGAAGAATGCAGAAGGAAATGAAGACTGTAAAGGTGAAAAAAACGCGTGCTGCCCCACCACAGAGCCAGTACCAACCAAACACCTTGGGAACCTTTACCGCACCTGTACCGAACCTGTACCAAACCTTTACCAGGGAGGAGGCTCTGTGGTGAGTGGTGTTGAAAGGTGATACTTTCAACCTTCACCGTAACAAGTCGGGGATGTCGATGTCGCTTCAGCCACGTCGTAGGTAGCGTCGCGACGAGGACGAGGAGAAAACGCAGATCGAAGTAGCTTCGCTACGTTGCAAAAACTCCCACGGTCGAAGTAATGAAGCTCCACGATCCGACCGGATGATCCCGACAAGGCTGAACGGCGTCGACGTGAGAAGATGGTGAATGGTCGAAACTGGTAGCGCGATCGAAAGCCAAGCTCGATTAGCAAAAGTGCCAGGAAGACTACAGAAACTATTTGAAAATCCCGAGAAGACGAGCCGGTGTACGAAGAGAGACTGAAGATGCGTGGAATGTCTAATTTCGGACCGTTGGGATGCGGTTTGGAATCAGTGAGCGGCTGGAATTCTCGCTTTGCTGGCCTCCAAGGTGGTCCCCACCGTGGACTACGTGGACGATTGTGGATCATAAGGAATCGCCGACAACATGAAGATCAGCTCTGATTGGACCGCCAAATGAGCCCCAACGCTTGATTGGACCGCCAACGAAAACACTATCCAAACGAAAACACTATTCAACCAGAATGTCCTCAATTTGGGACATGTATGCTGTTTCAATAGCCAGAAAAAAACGCGGGTATACACACAAATTTTGAAGGTCTAGTGACGTGGCCTAAAAAACTTCCGCTCATTCAACCGCCGTGATCCGTATTCCGAAGCGTGCTGCTAAATCGAGCCGCTCTAGTGCTTAGGAGGCGGCTGGCAGAAGAGTTGGGAGGGAAGACGAGATCTGTCTGGTTGGGTCTGACAGCAGCGGCGGTAGAGAGAAGCGATGGAGCAGCTGTAAACCCATCATCTGCCACAAGGGGAAGCTCGATCCATGGTCTAGCGAACTGGCGATGTGACATGTAACTTCTGCTGTCGGCCGTTGCGAAGTGGTTGGAAACTCGGTTTCGCCAACCCTTCTGGTTGTTCCAGAGATCGCGTTGATTGGCGACGTGGGTTGCGAAAGGTGTGGCGATTGTGAAGTAACTCGTCATTCTTTGAATGTGCGGATTTGGTTGATGGGGGACACAGGACGATGTTGGATGTTTGAAGGAAGGTGCCATCGGGTTGAACACGGTTCGAAATGTTTTAGCGAGTTTTCAGTGCGGTGAGAAGTCAGTCTCACGTATCGTCAAACGCACGTTTGCCCGTCATGCCACTCGGTAAAGTTTGGTACCCAAATAGCGGAATGCCCAGCTGCTCACTAGCACCGTATAGCACCAGACAATACCGTTGCTGTGAAAACAAGAAACAACGTCCCCCAATCCCAAGGCACCTTTCGGTATTCCCGCGAAAATCCCCAGCTTCAGCATCCCTGCGTGAGTTCCGCCTTCCCCGGGAGTGTTTCGCTGTGCGGGCTGCGCAGGGATAACAGGTGGCGTCAGGACAGTGGACAGCAGGATTTCCACATTAGTCGCTGCGGTAAGTTGCGAGTTTGCGTATAGAGGTGGACATTCTAATTCAACAAGATTCGTATGTAGCATGGAAAATGTTTAGTGATTTATCACAAACCGTGTAGGAAGGACTATCCAGAAACTAAGGTACTGAAAAATCTAGCTTTGCAGGATGATCCTCTCTGGATGGTCACTTCACGCAATAACGCGCATTAATCTGGATTTCTGACACTAGAATTTTACCCTCGACCTGCAGCAGCTCATAATGCCAGATGTGCATAATGCCTGGGTAATTTGTACTTCTCAAAGGCTTCTTGACAGTACTGCTTAAATAATTAATCGACAAAAAACACCGTTGCAAAAACACCACAAATCACTGAACAGCTCCCCCCTACCCCAAAACTTGATGAGAGCCACTTATGGGCGGGTACCGTGATGGAGGTTCCTCTCACAGCTCCCTGCCTCCGCCTAGAGCGCGGTCCACCATGGGCTTGAGCTTGCCGCGCTCATGCAGGTCCATCACCTGCTCCTTGCCCCCCACATACCGCCCACCTATGAACACCTGGTGTGGCCATCAGCACAGGGCGCAGAGGGAGCAGAGGGAGCAAGGAACAAGGTGGAACACACGAGGAGCGAGCAGAGCATATGGGAGCAGAGTCAGGTGCACTGTGGTGGATGTTCAGCAGCCAGAAATGCGGGCATGAGGGAGTGCTGGTATGTTCTTGACCTCCTACCCATGCACGTCCAGAACCTTCTCTCAGCACTCGACAGAATGTCTCCCTCACACAAGCCCAGGCGAAGCTGCCTGCCCGCCAATGCACCCCGTTTGAGCCTATGCAAAGCGGTCGGGTACTGGTGCACGGTTGAATCAAACCCACCTGAACCCTAGACCTCCTTCTGACACGCCTGCCACTAGGAGCGCATGGCCGACATGGTAAAATCAGCATGGGTCGCTGGCGCGCATACGAGCCAGGGGGCAGCTTTGGCATGACATTACTTGCACATGCGCTTCCTGGCAAGCATTCAAACTTGCATCGAGTCAACCGGCAGGCTGATTTGATGCTATGGTGATGTTTTTCATCAGTAATGTGGTCGGATGGCATGGCATGAGCAGTCCCCGCAGCACGGTAACACGCCTCATCCCCTCTCGCATTAAACTCCCCACATTCGCGCACCGAATTCCCCATACGCGCGCACCAAATTCCCCAAATGCGCGCACCCACGCCCGTACCTGCGCGCACCAAAACCACCAACCTGCGCGCAGCGGCGCACGCACCTGCGGCATGGCGGTGGTGCCGTAGACGACCTCCGCGGCATTCTCGATGCCCGGCCCCTCCTCCGTGCCGTCAACGTTCACCGGCCAAATAGTCCCGCCCGAGTCGCCCGCAAGCCCTTCCAACAGCGCCCGCGTTCGCCGGGTATCGCGGCAGTACGATCGCCCCACCACCACGATCGGGTGCCGCGCCCCGATCTCGTTCAGCTTGCGCTTCATCTCCGCGCGCTCCTCCGCCTGTGCGGGTGTGCGGGAAGCGGCTTCGGACGTGAGAATGGCGGGGAGGGAGAGCAGCGCGAGGAGGCCGAGCGCGAGGAGATGAATGTGCGGCGCCCGCGGGCAGTCGCGATGCTTCGAGAGAGGCATGGCTGACGGTGGGGGAGATCCGGGAGTGGCGGAAGGCGGTCGCGAAATGCCCCTTATGCAGAAGCGCTGTTGTGAAGTCCGGTGTCAGACGGGTGATTCTCAAACCCAGAGAAAAGTCGAGCCGCTACAGCAGTTTCAATGGCTTCAGGATTCAGGCAAGACAAGGTCAATATCCTCATACCACACCTTGGGAACACATGCACACTCAGCAGCTCGTCCTCTCCCGTTCAAACATGACAAACTCAATACCTCGTGACCAACCTGCATCGACTGCCCCCGGAATGCACTTCCTTTGTTAGAACTGTCGGATATTCGAGACGGGTCTCACTCAGGCTTGTTCGAGACTGTCCCGCTCTCACACGCGTTTCTCTGATAGCCTCTCTGCCTTGTGCGTTACCCTGTCCACAATGAGCCTCCGTCTTCACTCTTCCTGCATCCTAGTGTAGATGCGAAAGTACCAGGAGGACGAGACAAGACTCGCAGATGAGAGTCAAGGGAGAGAAGCAGGTTGGTAGAGGAAGAGAAGGGAGGAGCGGCGCAAGTCATGGCAAGGCACGGCATGGGATGCGGAGGGGCAGCACGCACTCACATGGACATGGGGGATGGGGAGGGGCAGCAGATGCTGCTCCAACCCAACACCTCTCGTGAGGTGGTGTGCTGCAGCTTGGAAGAGGAAGAGCAGGGAGGAGCGGGGCATGGCGCAGAGGCAGGCGTGAGAGAGCAGGTGGAAGAGCAGGCTGGTGGAGAGAGGCAGGTTGGCGGGGTCGGGGAGGAGGCGAGCGAGGTGCTGCAGGGCTTGCCTGTGGGGTGTTGGGGGGAGAGCGGGAGGGCGGGAGGAGAAAGCGACAGAGAGAAGTGAAGGTGCGTATAGGAGTTAGAAAGAGCATGGCGGGAAGCGGTGGGGCACGGGGACTGATGGGCTAGGTTCTCCAAACTTAAACGTAGAATGGACACATGAGAATCTGCAGCTCCAGGCGCAGGAGAATCTGCAGCTCCAGGCGCAGGAGAATCCGCCATACATCTACTGCTGTGCAAATAAGGCATACAATCCCTATGCATGCGTACATAGTAAAATGGGAACCGTTGCTACAAGGGAAGGCAGCAGTGTCAGGAGGGGCGGCACGTGCAAGCAGTGGGTGGGGGATGCGAGTGACGGCAATGGTGAAAAGGGGAGCACGTCATCCCATTCCATCCCATCCCATCCCATCCCATCCCATCCCATCCCATCCCGTCCCTCCCCCACCATCAATGACATACAATGAGAGCACGTGCAGGCAGGGCGGCCAGTGCTGCAGGAAGTGCTGCAGGCGGGGAGGGGAGGGGAGGCGAGGGTGGGAGGGGGGGAGGGGGTTGGATGACAAGAGCGGGGTGAGAAGAAGAGGGTGGTGGGGGGGGGGGTTTGAAAAGAGGGGGGGAAGGAGGGGGTGAGAATCGGGGGTCGGGTGAAAAGGAGGTAGGGAGGAAGGCGGGGGGTGAATTGCAAGGACTAATGCAGCACTGTTGAGCGGCAGATGAAAAGCAAGGAGGAAGGTCATCTCCTGCGCTCCCAGATTAGATCCCACCATCTCCTCTATCCCCCCACTCCCGCACCCCTTCACTGCCCCTGCCCCGCACTGCCCCACCCCCCCACTGCCGCACCCCCCCACTCTCCCCACGCACTACCTGCGGAGCGCACGAGCAGCAGGTAACAAGGCGCGGGCTGCGTGCTGTTGACTGTTTTCCAATGCGCACTCGAAGCCTCGCGCGTGTGGAGAACTAGCGGCGTCGAAGCAATCTCCCGCGCGTGTGAATGAAGGTCACCAAGGCCGTATCCCGTCAAGAGAGGCTAAGAGGTTGAGCCGGTAAGTGCGTCAAGTGCATCATATGCAACTAGGTCAGGCGCGGAACCGTGGATATGGGAGGTAAGCATGGCATGAAGCTGGAAATGGGTGACAACGGCACACACGACGGCGCTCCCGATCTCTCTTTCTCGCTCTATCTCCTCTTTCGTGACGGTTAATCCCCACTGCGCGGAACTCGCGACGAGGACAGACAAGCCCTTCGTTAACAACGCCGCGTGATTCAAGGCTGGCAGAAACCCGAAATGCACGGCTCCGATTGCACCACCGATCGAGCTCGCCCAGGCAGATTCTCTCGTCTCGAACGCGCAGATCCTACAACACCCGCGGAGCAGCAGGCAATGGCTGCTTGTACCATCCGAACTCGCCATGGTATCGCTGCGATGTGACAGCAGCTTCGATTTCCGACTTTTCGGCTTCAAATTAATCGACGCGACGCAAGCGGAGCCGACATCTGCTTTCACGTTCTCGCTGGCTGGGTGGGGATGAAGATTTCTGCTCGAGAGATGTGACGGACATGAATTCGCACAAACTTCGAGGCCGTCCGCGTGAGCTCTGGAGCCTAAGTATCCACTTCAATGCGGTGACATGCGATTTCGTACTTTTCTAAACTGCTGTTTGGCAATGCCAGATGTCTCTGAAACGTGATGTTTTAGGCCAGATAAACACATAAACATGTTGATTTCTAGTGGGCCCACGATATCAGGGCAAAACATCCTGATTACCCTGATTTCAGGATGGTGTTTTAAGTTTGCCCTGGAATTTCAGAATGACGCTGAAATTTACCCTGCGACCTCAGGATGATCCATGTGTTTTGCCCTGAAATTTCAGAATGGCAGTGAAATTTTGCCCTGAAGCGTTAGGGTGAATGTAGAGGGATGCCCTGACTCGTGGGAAGGGGAGAAGGGGTGGAAGGGGAGAGGGAGAGAGGGGAGGAAGGAGGCTGGGGGTGTGTGTGCTAGTAGTTCTGTCCCCACCCCTCCCCCACCAATGTTTTTGCTCAGCCAGCAGTGAAACCAGTGAGCAACCTGCTCCTTTCGTGCCTTCCCCTCCATCCTCTCCAGTGCCTTGTAATTTTTGCCCTGAATCATCCGGATGAATTTTTGCTGGTGCCCTGAAATTTCAGGATGGCCAGGGAATTTTGCCCTGGAAAATCAGGGCATTTCAGAATTTTTTCAAAAGTTACCCTGAGGGCTCAGGGTGCCCTAAATCCTAGCACAGGCCCTGTTCTAGTGCATACTTGTAGAGAGACATTCTACGCTCTATCTAGGGTAGTATCACTATACTAGTGTACATTCTGTATAACAATTGTAAAATATTTCAGAGATACACTCAGCCAATGCGATTCTATCTACCGTACAAGTAATCTTAACGGCCAAAGGTCAACAGCCAATGAGTGGCAGGCAGCATGCCATCCATGCCCACCCCGGCATGGACTGGCAGTGCAATGCACAGGCAGAGAGGAAGGTTGGGCCTTGAGCATTGCCCTACTAGGGACTGGCTCTGCTCACCCCCGCCCACACCACATGACATCACTGCTGGCCAGACAGCTTTGTCATGTGGTGTGGGAGGAGGGGGACAGAACCAGTCCGGTTTGGCCCGGAATCGAGTCCCCAGCCAATGCTCAAGGCTTCAACCCCTCTCGTGCGCTGCCTTCCACCTGCATGGTACAAGAGAAAAATATTAGTCCATGCTCTTTAAGAGAAAGGATGCAGCATGTGTCAAAGAAAAATGATGAACACAACTAGGTTATTGAAAAAAGATTCAGCGAATCGACTCGGAGCAAAGTAAAGGGCAGAGACTTATCTGAAGTTAAAGCGTTGGAGGTGTCGAGCAGTGCGCCAGGACTTGGAGCTTCATGGGCGTGCAGAGAGCCCTTGGAGAGAACCTGCCATGAGGAAAATAAATAAAGTCAGTGACCGGGATCATCTTGAAGCAACAACTTGAATAAAGCGAAGCAATCAGCAAACTAAGCAAGCGGTGAAGACAAGGGTAGGCAACTTATCTCTCCATGCTTGACCAATGAGGCGCCTCAGCAGACCATGGTGCTCCCATGGATGTTGGACATGCTGAAGGTCCCTTGGTTGAGCAAACTGCCACATAGTAAAAATAAAACCGAATTAGTAAATCGAGTAACTTCAGAATCATTTAAAGACAGAAAGCAAGAGTTGAGGAAAAAAGCCCAGAGAGACGGGACTTACAGCTGGGTGAGAGAGAGGAGGCGCCTGCCAGTGGTGTCGGCAGGTACGTTCACCCCGCCTTGGAGCTTAGCAGTGTGGCACAAGCGCCTTGAATAGAACCTGCAAGTATGAACAAGCGAATGTTAGTAAACTGAATGAACAAAAGATGCAAAAACGGAACTCAATGTATACTTACCACACCACCACAGAGCCAGTTACCAACCAAAGGACCTGCACCACACCTACCTCACCTGTACCACACCTACCTCACCTGTACCACACCTGAACCGGGGGGAGTGGCTCTGTGGGGTTGATACTCAACCTTCACCGTGGAGCTGACCTTTGCTGCAGGACCTTGGAAGGTTGATAAAGGCGGTTGCTCCTTCAAGAGCCTCCATACAAACCTGCAAGTATAAAAGAAAACAGAAGTTAGTAAACGGAATCATGAAAAGCAAGAAAAAAGCTTGCAAAAGCGGAAGAAACGTGTGCTGGTGCTTCCACAGAACCACAGAGGAGGTACCAATAAAAAAAACACCTTAAGGGGACCTGTACCTTACCTTTACCTTACCTGCACCACACCTGGACCAGGGAGGGGGGGGGGGGTGGTTCTGTGGAGTGTGGAGGGTGAGGTTGATACTTTTAACCTTCACCTTCACCAGCCGTGGAGCTGCTCCTCCGTTTCCGTCCATGAAGCATGGAGAACCCCGAAGGCGGTTGCTTCTCTTGAAACTTCGAAAATACGCCTCGCAGCCCCCATTAGAACCTGCAAGTGTAGAAAAAGACACATAGTTAGTATACGGAATTGAAAAAAGCATGCAGAAAACGACACTGCGAAGTGAAGAAAGCTGTGCTGCCCCACCACAGAGCCAGTACCAACCTGTACCGAAAAAAAAAAACCTTCTAAGGGCCTTTACCTAACCTGTACCGAACCTTTACCAAACCTTAACCGGGGGGGGAGGCTCTGTGGTGAGTGGTGGTGCAAGGTGATATGTTTAACCTTCACCAGGACGACTCGTGGAGCTGCTCCTCTGCTCCTCTGGTCGATCGATGACACTTCAGCCACGTCGTAGATGGCATCGCGACGACGCCTTGAAGAATGGAGAGCCACGAAAGCTGTTGTTCCCTTGAAAGCTTCGGATGTACGCCTAGCAGCCTCCAAGAGCACCTGCAAGTATAATAAAAAACATGAAGTCAGTAAACGGAAGTGAAGAAAGCAAAAGGCAATGAAGAGTGAACGTGAAAGAAACACGTGCTGCCCCACCACAGAGCCAGTACCAACCAAACACCTTGGGAACCTTTACCGCACCTGTACCGAACCTGTACCAAACCTTTACCAGGGAGGAGGCTCTGTGGTGAGTGGTGGTGAAAGGTGATACTTTCAACCTTCACCGTAACAAGTCGGGGATGTCGATGTCGCTTCAGCCACGTCGTAGGTAGCGTCGCGACGAGGACGAGGAGAAAACGCAGATCGACGTAGCTTCGCTACGTTGCAAAAACTCCCACGGTCGAAGAAATGAAGCTCCACGATCCGACCGTACGATCCCGGCAAGGCTGAACGGCGTCGACGTGAGAAGATGGTGAATGGTCGAAACTGGTAGCGCGATCGAAAGCCAAGCTCGATTAGCAAAAGTGCCAGGAAGACTACAGAAACTATTTGAAAATCCCGAGAAGACGAGCCGGTGTACGAAGAGAGACTGAAGATGCGTGGAATGTCTAATTTCGGACCGTTGGGATGCGGTTTGGAATCAGTGAGCGGCTGGAATTCTCGCTTTGCTGGCTGCGAAGGGCGGTCCCAAACATGCCACCGTGGACTACGTGGACGATTGTGGATCATAAGGAATCGCCGAAAACATGAAGATCAGCTCTGATTGGACCGCCAAATGAGCCCCAACGCTTGATTGGACCGTCAACAAAAACACTATCCAAACGAAAACACTATCCAACCAGAATGTCCTCAATTTGGGACATGTATGCTGTTTCAATAGCCAGAAAAAAACGCGGGTATACACACAAATTTTGAAGGTCTAGTGACGTGGCCTAAAAAACTTCCGCTCATTCAACCGCCGTGATCCGTATTCCGAAGCGTGCTGCTAAATCGAGCCGCTCTAGTGCTTAGGAGGCGGCTGGCAGAAGAGTTGGGAGGGAAGACGAGATCTGTCTGGTTGGGTCTGACAGCAGCGGCGGTAGAGAGAAGCGATGGAGCAGCTGTAAACCCATCATCTGCCACAAGGGGAAGCTCGATCCATGGTCTAGCGAACTGGCGATGTGACATGTAACTTCTGCTGTCGGCCGTTGCGAAGTGGTTGGAAACTCGGTTTCGCCAACCCTTCTGGTTGTTCCAGAGATCGCGTTGATTGGCGACGTGGGTTGCGAAAGGTGTGGCGATTGTGAAGTAACTCGTCATTCTTTGAATGTGCGGATTTGGTTGATGGGGGACACAGGACGATGTTGGATGTTTGAAGGAAGGTGCCATCGGGTTGAACACGGTTCGAAATGTTTTAGCGAGTTTTCAGTGCGGTGAGAAGTCAGTCTCACATATCGTCAAACGCACGTTTGCCCGTCATGCCACTCGGTAAAGTTTGGTACCCAAATAGCGGAATGCCCAGCTGCTCACTAGCACCGTATAGCACCAGACAATACCGTTGCTGTGAAAACAAGAAACAACGTCCCCCAATCCCAAGGCACCTTTCGGTATTCCCGCGAAAATCCCCAGCTTCAGCATCCCTGCGTGAGTTCCGCCTTCCCCGGGAGTGTTTCGCTGTGCGGGCTGCGCAGGGATAACAGGTGGCGTCAGGACAGTGGACAGCAGGATTTCCACATTAGTCGCTGCGGTAAGTTGCGAGTTTGCGTATAGAGGTGGACATTCTAATTCAACAAGATTCGTATGTAGCATGGAAAATGTTTAGTGATTTATCACAAACCGTGTAGGAAGGACTATCCAGAAACTAAGGTACTGAAAAATCTAGCTTTGCAGGATGATCCTCTCTGGATGGTCACTTCACGCAATAACGCGCATTAATCTGGATTTCTGACACTAGAATTTTACCCTCGACCTGCAGCAGCTCATAATGCCAGATGTGCATAATGCCTGGGTAATTTGTACTTCTCAAAGGCTTCTTGACAGTACTGCTTAAATAATTAATCGACAAAAAACACCGTTGCAAAAACACCACAAATCACTGAACAGCTCCCCCCTACCCCAAAACTTGATGAGAGCCACTTATGGGCGGGTACCGTGATGGAGGTTCCTCTCACAGCTCCCTGCCTCCGCCTAGAGCGCGGTCCACCATGGGCTTGAGCTTGCCGCGCTCATGCAGGTCCATCACCTGCTCCTTGCCCCCCACATACCGCCCACCTATGAACACCTGGTGTGGCCATCAGCACAGGGCGCAGAGGGAGCAGAGGGAGCAAGGAACAAGGTGGAACACACGAGGAGCGAGCAGAGCATATGGGAGCAGAGTCAGGTGCACTGTGGTGGATGTTCAGCAGCCAGAAATGCGGGCATGAGGGAGTGCTGGTATGTTCTTGACCTCCTACCCATGCACGTCCAGAACCTTCTCTCAGCACTCGACAGAATGTCTCCCTCACACAAGCCCAGGCGAAGCTGCCTGCCCGCCAATGCACCCCGTTTGAGCCTATGCAAAGCGGTCGGGTACTGGTGCACGGTTGAATCAAACCCACCTGAACCCTAGACCTCCTTCTGACACGCCTGCCAGTAGGAGCGCATGGCCGACATGGTAAAATCAGCATGGGTCGCTGGCGCGCATACGAGCCAGGGGGCAGCTTTGGCATGGCATTGCTTGCACATGCGCTTCCTGGCAAGCATTCAAACTTGCATCGAGTCAACCGGCATGCTGATTTGATGCTATGTTGATGTTTTTCATCAGTAATGCGGTCGAATGGCATGGAATAAGCAGCCCCCGCAGCACGGTAACACGCCTCGTCCCCTCTCGCATTAAACTCGCCACGCACCGAATTCCCCATACGCGAGCACCAAATTCCCCACATGCGCGCACCCACGCCCGTACCTGCGCGTACCAAAACCACCAACCTGCGCGCAGCGGCGCACGCACCTGCGGCATGGCGGTGGTGCCGTAGACGACCTCCGCGGCATTCTCGATGCCCGGCCCCTCCTCCGTGCCGTCAACGTTCACCGGCCAAATAGTCCCGCCCGAGTCGCCCGCAAGCCCTTCCAACAGCGCCCGCGTTCGCCGGGTATCGCGGCAGTACGATCGCCCCACCACCACGATCGGGTGCCGCGCCCCGATCTCGTTCAGCTTGCGCTTCATCTCCGCGCGCTCCTCCGCCTGTGCGGGTGTGCGGGAAGCGGCTTCGGACGTGAGAATGGCGGGGAGGGAGAGCAGCGCGAGGAGGCCGAACGCGAGGAGATGAATGTGCGGCGCCCGCGGGCAGTCGCGATGCTTCGAGAGAGGCATGGCTGACGGTGGGGGAGATCCGGGAGTGGCGGAAGGCGGTCGCGAAATGCGGTGGCGGAAGGCGGTCGCGAAGCGCGGTGGCGGAAGGCGGTGGCGGAAAGCGGTCGCAAAATGCGGTAGCGGGAGGACGAGGGGAAGACGGTGAGAGGAGAGGAACTGGCTGCGCAGACCAGCGTTCCAGGCAAATGCTGGTGGAACACAACAGAGTGCAACGGAATGTGGGATGCGCAAGGCAGGCTTGCGAGAAAACAAGCTCACGAACAGTTGGGGAAGGCTGCCATGTAAAGTGGGGAGGAGGTGGAAAATCTGTTCAGATTGTGAAGTTGGTGGTGTGCGCGCGCTGCTTCTAGAAAGCTTGTCACGTGCTTTCGTAATCGACACGCTAGTGGGCAGTCGCAAATGCCATCCGACAAGATTGTACAGAAATCTTGACCGTTTATCTTGACAGCTGTCTGTGTTGTACGCGATGCAAGCTGGATTCGTATCCATGCCAACCCAAACCATACACGCAAAATGAGAGTTTCTTACGGTATGATACACATATGGTTTCAGCCACTAATATTTTCAAGGTCCTGACTAGATGCATATGCATGCATGTGTCCCACATGTCTAAATCTTCCTGAAACAAACATAATTCACATTGAGGCAACATAATTCGCTAGTGTGTAAAGCTTCTCGCCAAAACAAACAAGCAGACACAAAATAGTAAGAACCACAAGTCAGGCACGCAGTCACACTACTCAATGTGCTGCGGAGGCATACAGCCCCAGTCAAGAGCCATCACACCCCCAGCCCCACAGCGAACAGCATTGCTGCCACCGTCCTGATCCTCCCCTTCCAGGGACAGCAATCCGCGGTTGTGCTTGTGAAGGTCAGCCCCTTCCCACCAGGTAACCTTTCTTATTCTTCCTGTGTTCTCCTTTCCCTTTCCGGCACGACCGCTGCTCACACCCTTGCCTCCTCCATTCCACAACCACATGTCCCCGAGAAAGTCCAGGCTCATGCTGCTTCGCATCCCGCTGCCACTCCTGCTCCCGTGCTTTCCACTTCCCCCACGGCCATTCCTCAAGCTGCATACACACACATTGGTGAGTGGCGCACCAAACAGGTCCACCACTGCTGCCAGTGCCCTCTGCTGCTTGTCGCACTCATGGCACCCGTCAACCCTCGCACCCGCCTCCTCCTGCTCCTGGTACCGGTGATGCCCCAGCTCTTTCCCCTCCACTTCCTCCACCTCATTCTCACCCACAGTCCACTTGTACTGGGGAGCCCACTGAATCGCATCATCTGTGCTGCCCTCCTCCCCATCCATCACCCCGTTTTCAACAATCTCTCTGCACTTGGTCGCTGCCCTTGCCCCATCCAAGCCAAGCCCTGTCCGTGAAAGTGCACTTCCAGCCTTTTCGCACTCGCCACGTGGTGAGGCAACATCGGAGGGCAAAAAGGAGGGCGTGGAGGAGGAAGTGACGAGGCGATATGAACGAGACTTGGTCGCAGCACCACTGTTCACCTTACCCGCCACTTCACTCAAGGCCAACCCCACTCCCTCCTGCTCCTCCTCTCCCTCCCCCGACATCTGGCCCTGCTCAGCCCCCAGCCATCCTCCATCCACAGAAGCCACAGCAGCAGCAGTCTCAGCAGCAGACGAGGCGGAGGTGGCAGCATTGGAGTCAGCAGAAGCGATGATGGAGAGGGCAGCGAGGTCGGTGCGGCAGCGGTGGAAGATGGAGTCATAGAGCACGTCAAAGCGCACGCCTGCTCGCTGCCTGCTGATGATGAACAGAATGTGATCCGCCTCAAGCAGGGAGAAATACCTGCGGAGACACAGTGCAGCACAGCACAGCACAGCATGGACATATCACATTAGACCACGCCGCAACACACCAACACATACGTGCATGTATTCTAACAGCAGAGCACATGAGCGAGGGAAGGGAGGCTGCAGGGGGGTAAAGCAGCAGGAGGCGTCTGAGCGAGTGTGTGAAGGAGCATTTGCAGGGGGTGAGAGGGAAAGGGGCACTTACCAGATGCCTGGCTTGTATGGTGGGGTGCCCTGCGAGGGTTGGATGCGGGGGAGGGGCGAGTGCGGCTGTGGCGTGGGGAAGCGCGGGTAGAGCATGGAGATGGTGTTGAGCGCACCGTCATTGTGCCACCAGTCCTTGTCGCTGGATCAAGGCGAGGGGCAACGAGGGAATAAGGAGAAATGGGTAATGGGATGAACGAAGAGAGGACGGTCAGGTGAGTGAACAAGGTAAAGGAAGATTGGTGAGCAAGGAGGGTTGAAAGAAAGGGCATCAAGGTCCTTCAATGCGTCAAACCGTGAAAGGGTGGGAGCAGGATGAGAGGTGGGGGACGGGGACCTACCGATAATTGGGGTAGGGTTTAGGTGCGTGTTTAGGGAGGCGCCATAGGCAGAGCTGCAGCGAGCGGAGGGTGAAGATGGGGTGGATGGAGAGAGCCGCGGGCACCACCCACCCCATCAGATTGCGCGTCTTCACTGTCGCATAGCTGTGCGCGCAGAGAGGGGGGGGAAGGGGGTGGGGGAAGAATGGGGAGAAGGGAGGAGGGGGGAAGCAGGAGGGATGGAGGAGGGAAGGCTGAGGAGTTGGATAAAAAAGCCGAGAAGGGGAGACCAAGGGGAAGGCAGGTCAGACACTAGCTCAGGCACTAGCTCAGGCACTAGCTCAGGCACTAGCTCAGGCACTAGCTCAGGCACTAGCTCAGGCACTAGCTCAGGGAAGTATTGGCAAGGCTGCAACTCCCACGAGCCCTTGTGCTCTGAGCCTGACTGACCTGAAGTAGTAGGTGTTGGGATGCGTCTGCAGCTTCTTGTTGAGCTCCATGCTGTGGTGCAGACTCAGGTCCGGCAGCACCCAGTCGCCCGATGCAAACGGCCCCGTCTTTCCCGCCAGCGCCTTCACAAGCCCCCAGAGGCCCACGCGGCGCCAGGAGAGGGGGAAGTGGTCGAAGCCGAAGGAGTAGAAGGCTTTAAGCGGCGCGATGTCGAGCCACTCGAAGATGATGGAGCCGATTCGCAGCACCTGCAGCAGGCACATAGGGCGCACCGTCACTCCGTCGCGCACGCTGCGTTGGCGAGGGTGGATGGGCGAGGAGAGGGGATGAGGTGCGAAAAGGGGGAGGGGAGGGAGGAAGGGGGAGAAAAGATCTTAGTGGATTGGCGAGGTAAAGAGTGTGGGGGAAGATGGAGGGTGCGTGGCGTTGATGCAACGGACGAGAACATTGGAATCCCAAAACGAAAAAGATAAGAAAATCAATCACTGAAGGTAAAACACGAGGAGCAAGTTAGACGCTGGAGCAGGGCGGTGAGCAGCGCGGCGAGGAATGGAAGAGCAGCGCGTACGAGAGGCCGTCGATGTAGACGCGCGTGGTGCCATTGAGCGCGCCGGACAGCGACGTGATGGACGCCACCCAGTCCGCACTCGTGTCATCATGCCCCTCGAACTCCTGTTCGCGCCACACAGAGACAAATGAATCACACACAGACCTTGCTTGCTACACGCACCCCGGCATGGCAGAGGACGGACGCGCGCGATGCGGAGCACAGGAGATGTGGCAACTGTTATACTTTTGACCTAGCAAGCCCGAGTCACTCACAACCCAGCTTCCTCACCCTCGTGCTTTAGATTCCACTTTCCATCTCAGCCCATCTTCTCCCAACCCGAAGCCATGCTCCCTGAAGCCAAGCCCAAGCCTCTCACCCCGCGCGCTTTCCCCCCATCTCAACCAAACTTCCCCTCCCCTGACCCCCTCCGCCTGCGCGCACCTTGTTGTGCAGCATGTGCTGCAGCATCCTGGCGGCCTGCACGCCCGACGAGTGCGCCACCAGGTGTATCGGGTGCTGCGCGTCCCACAGCGGGTGCTTGCCTGCCAGCCAGCCACGCGCACACACAACGCGCACGCACGCCAAAGACATTCTCGTGTTTCGTGGCGCATAGAGAGGAATACGAGGAAGGAAGAAAAGCGCGAGAAGAAAAGACGCGGAAGGAGGGGAGCAGGGGGGAAGCAGGGGAACGGGGAGGCGGGTGGGAATCGGAAGCATGAGGTGCGCGAAAATTCCACAAATGCACATGTCCAACTTTCAAGCCACTGATACCACTTACCTTGCGCGTATGTCTTGCCAAAGCGATCGTGGCCAGCCGCGGCGCTGTGCTCGGCGCCATAGTCGACCGTGCCGCCCTTGAGGTAGTAAAAGAGGTCCCTGGCCCTGTCGTGAATGCTCGTGAGCGACCCCAGGTCCGGTACCAGCACCTTGTCGTGCCGGTACTCCGCGCCGCCGAAATACGAAATGCCGCCGAATTTCTGCGAGAGGCTCAGTGGCAATGGTTGGGTTGAGCAAGGGGGGCGGGGAGGGGTTGAATAGTGGATCGAGCGACAGGGGAGGGACGAAACGACTGACTGAGCATGTGACTTGAATCGCGTGAGTGTGAGGCTTTCATTTGTTTGCAGCACAAAGGCACACGACTTCCCAGCACACACTGTTGAAGCACACGGGAAAAGCTGACACCCAACTCACACTTGGGCCCAAAGTATCGCTTACCCCGTGGCCGAACCCGAAGATTCCATGAACCAGCACGATGGGCGTGACAGCGTCCGGCGAGCACGGCGACGCAACTCCATCCGCAGCGTCCGCGCTCCTCCCGTTGACCGCGCTCCCTTTCCGACCGACGCCTGCACCCGCAGTAGCATTTCGGGACGTCTCGACAGCAGAAGCCGATTTGGTGTAGCGGCTGCGGAACGTCGCGGTCAGCCGCTTCCGCCATCGCAACTGCTGCCGCCTCTTCTGCTCCTGCTGCTCCCCTTGCGACAGCGGAATGTCGGTCTGCAGACAGCCTTCCGGTCCCATTCGCTCCTGCGACTCCACCAGCCATTCGACGCCTTCAGAAGCAGGTAGATCTGCGGCGCTCTCATTCGCAGCAGCATCTGCAGCAGCAGCAGAGGGAGGACCACTGGGATGGACGCCACTGCACGATGCATGATGAGATCTGACCGATTCGTGCGTATGGTCACTAAACCATCCGCCGCTGCTGCTGCTGTTGGGCCTTGAAGGAAGCGGGTAAGCAGACGCCTTGCATGCCTTGGCATACAGGCGGCACGGGGAGGTGCAGCAGGTCCATCCGGCCTTGAGCAGCTTGAGGAAGACTCGGGGGAAAAATGACGCGTCGGTGACGGTGGATGAGACGGCGGCGATAAGGTCGGTGAGCAGAGCCCAGTACACCATGCACGCGGCGTACGTGACGTGGATCACGGTACTGATACACACCTCGGCCAGGCACCACGCGCGCCATACCACCCGACCAGCCTTCGTCTCTCGCAGTCTCCACATGGTTGGTGGTGCTGTGAGGCAGTCCTGCTGTTAGTCCCAAGCTGCGGCTTGCTTGTTCAGCAGCACCCGGGATGCTCACATAGAAAAGTCGTCCATGGCAAGCGGTTTTAACGAAATGCCAGATCTGGGAAAAAAAGGATGGTACGGACTGCCTGCCCTAGCTCACCACTCTGATCTGGTCAGGCAGTGGCCGTAGCACGTTCAAAGGAGAGAGTGACCCGTAGTAGTCACCCGAGTCATCTATTGACAACAAATGCTGACAGGGGATTGGCACGACCACAACGATTCAAGGCAAATGTCACGCTGTCTGAAAAACGTCCAAGTACACGTTTACAGAGACTCCATGCACAAGCCAGCGGGTGCCTGACTGCTGCTGCGGACAGATTTGACAAACGCGGGAGGGAAGCCGACGTTTGGAATGAAGGCTGTCGCGATCGCGGTGGGTCAAAGGGGAAGGGCAAGCCCTTTGACGGTGGTTGGTCAGGTGAGCGGGAATAGAGGATGGGGGAGACGGGAAGAGGGGAAACAGTTCAGCCTGGAGAAGTACAGTGCTTCCCTGGCTGTCGCGGATCTGCCTCGGTCCTGACGACAGCCATCAACAAGCGCTGTGGTGACATTTTGTTTTAGCATGCGTTGCAGAGTGGGCAACTCCGCCAAAATAAGCGAATCATTGTTTCCCAAAACATTATTTAAATAACATAAAATATCTAGTGGCAGAGTGAGTTTTGGTGTTTTTTGTGCCATTGATTTTGTTTCTGTGTAGCCCTTTGATTTGCCTGTCCTTGAGATTTCCGCCACATGTGGTTGGCGGTGGTTCTGGGGGGAATCCAGGTTGTGCGTTCTAACCAACCAGATCAGGCTATGGAGTTGAGGAGGTGTTTGGGGGGAACGACTTCAACATTGCGGAATCCGCCTGCGCGAGTCGCCCTCGTCGTCATCACCTGGAGAGTCTGCGCGCAGGTTCCAAGACTGGGCAGGTCAGTGGCCAGCGGGAGGTGCGCCATTGATTTAATCAGCCGACTCACCCAATCAGCAATCAAGATTTGACGAAGCTTGGTCATCTGCCCTTGGCGGTGCTGACAAGAGCAGGGAAGGGATGGTGCGGCTTCTGGAAGCGCTGGCGCACACACAGCAAGCAAACGAAAAAGATGTTGATGTTCGCCTGAGATTTGAATTCGTGTGGATAATGACGACAACCAGGCCTCCAGTTTCCATCGCATGGGATCTGCATCCACGGCGGACAGTTATCGAGATGTCTGCTTTCCACTTTCACACAACCCATACACTGATATTTTGTGATAATTATGTAGTATGATATAGTGTATTATAAGCTTGTTGAGCAACCTCAAAATTGATTGCCGTGCTATTTATTGCCAGGATTTCAGGATAGAATAGGGAGCTGCATATCACCGCATCATAGATTTTATAAGAAAAACGGGCAACTTCAACTCCCAAACCAAGCCCAGAAACACCTCTGCATAAGATACCAAGAAGGGTGGTTGTGTGATTGCTTTTATTAGCTGTTTACAACCCTTTGGATAGGAGTGAAGCATGTAGATGGGAGACAACAGTAGGCAAAGGGAGACGCGAATGGGGGGTACCCACTCTTCCTCCTACCATCTTCCCCCGATTCCCTCCCTCCTTTTTCTCTTCCCACTCCCACTCAATTTACTTGTGTGATTGTGCTACTTTGTAACTGTTTTACCTTGGAATGCACCCATCTGTTTTACCTTGGAATGCACCCATGTCAATGGCGCAGGTTGGTTGCATAAACCAGTCTAAACCAATCCTACCCCACCCGAACCCACCTCGCACCAAGCCGTTCATACTCGCTCTTCCGTCATTAGGGCGGGGGCAGCGCGTTCATTTTCGCCACTTTTCCAAAATTTGGACGCCCGTCGAATCTGGAAGATACTCTAGCATTTTTGTACCGCGCTTAGTTTGTGTCCCGGGTGGAACACGCGCGTCCAAAATTGCGCACAGGTCTTGCCACACTTTTGCCTAACCGCCCACCCAATGAGGTAACCCTGTGCGACAGAGTTCTGGTTGTGTTTGTGAACCCCTGAATTTGCGAGGGTCGTACGCGCTTGACGAAGTCGTGACGCGGTTTCGCTGACCTGCACACAAGCATTCTCGAATGATGCGCGGGTTGTTCGCGGCCGTCGTGGGTACGTGTTTTGTTCGGTTGACGGCACGGAAAACAGCCACCGTTCATCCACTGTATGTTCTGTCGTGTCCACATGTTACCCTAAATCAGGGTTACAAACCGCTGAATCTGGTAACTGTTTCGGGCTAAGCCAGGAAAATGAACGCGCTGCCCCCGCCCTTAGGCCTGCCACTATCCCACCTCAACCTCCATCCCTTCTGACCTAGATTTCTAATAACAGCAAATCCTTGCTGCGCGTCCTCCGCACGTGGTACATAGAACTTGGTAGTAAAACACTGGTTGTCCCTGATTTTACTTTCGTTAGATAATGCCACCCGACCGCATGTAGTCGCATGCGGTGTTCCTCTCAACCTGTATTCGTCCCGCGTAATGGGGTCGTTATTACAATCTTATTCCTTGATATTAAGGTTGTTCCGTTCACGATGCCGTTCCATGCGCTCGTCATTCGTTAGGGTAACGGCTTGTTTCTTCGATCGCTTGTGACGAACCGCACAAATGACACCCGCCGAGTCGTCGCTTCGTCGAGCGACCATTTCCGTGACTTTGATCTGCGACAGCTCTCACTAAAAAAACCCGTCTTTCCAACAGCTACCTGCACGTAGGCTCCGGACCGCGCATCGAAAGAAGCAGCGGGAAGCAGGCGTTTAGAGCGGAGCTGGTAGAAGCAGAAGGGTAAAGCATCCGTGCGGTCGAGTGCGTGAGGGTGTTTTGAGTCGCGTGAAATTTGTTGGCAAGAGGCCGTGGCGCCATGGGGAACTGCGTGACGGTGGAGGAGATTCCGTTGAGTCCCACCAGCGGTAGCGGGCGCAAGGTGACTAACGGCAGCGGGGACGTGAGCAGGCGCAGCGGCAACGGCAGCGGGGATGTGGGGAGGCGCAGCGGCAGCGGCGCGGCGGGGACAGCAGCGGCAGCGGCCGCAGTGGCGGCAGAGTCGGGCAAGCAGGAAAGCGGAAAAGGGGTTTTCTCAGGCACGCGGTTCTCGCGACTGCGCTCGTCTGCATCGAAAAAAGGTGCTGCCATTGCCAGTTCGCTTACTGCGCCATGCGAGCGTACGCGTGCTTGCCTTCTCCGCAGCAGCTGCGCGTCTCTGCGCGTCTCTCACCTTCTTCTCTTGTCTTTGCTGTCTCATGCCGATTCTCAACCCACGTGCCTCCGGTTGTTTTCCATGGGCTCCCCGGTGCGCTCCAACGCCCTTAACTCCCTTCTCCCTCTTCGGCTCCCTCTCCCGCCCTCCCTTTGCCTCTCTTCCGCACTCATTCCCGCATCTTTCGCCCTCGCTCCCCCTCTTGTCCATCTCCAACCTCTTCCATCACCGCCGCTCCAGGCAGCGCCTCGTCAGCACCGGCCGCCGCCGTGCGGCAGATCGAGAGCGCGGGGGAGGCGCAGGCGGCAGCGGTGGACAGCCTGGGGGCGGCGGCGTCAGTGTCAGCGCCCGCCCCCGCGGCGGACGCGGGCAGCAGAGTCACGTCCGCGCGCGCGCAGAGTAGCTCCGCTGCCGCCAGAGGTACGGATTCAGTAGTGAGGTGAGGCGCACAGGTGCGGGGACAGAGAGGAGGGGAGGAAAACGCGGCAGCGCCGCTTGATCGTTTGCTCATCAATGCCACGTGGCTTGCTTCCGTGCACCCCATCGCGTCATGCACTCCCTCGCTTCTTTCCCCTTCACCCCCCTATCTGCGACTGACAGTTGACAACGAATCGTCCCACGCCACGTCAGCAGCGCGCAGGGAGCGGGACAAGGGCGTGGAGCCGCCCAAGATCCCCGCGCACCCCCTCGCGCTCCCGCCCAACGAGCCGCTGCCGCAGCAACCAGTGTCGCCTCAACCCGCGTCAAGGGGAGAGGGCGCAAACGGAGGGGCGGCCGCGGGCGTGGGGAGAGGCACCAGCGCAGAGGCAGCCGCGCTGGCAGGGGCAGGCGCGGCCCCGTCGCCCGCGGAACTGGCGGGCGTGGGGCGGGACACGAGCCTGACAGCGTTCACGTATGAGGAGCTGCGCGCGGCCACGGGGAAGTTCCGCGCGGATGCGCGCCTGGGGGAGGGCGGGTTTGGGGCGGTGTACCGCGGGAGGGTGCGGCCGAGGCCAGGGTGTGAGCCCATCGACGTGGCTGTGAAGACGCTCAACCAGGAGGGCCTGCAGGGCCACCAGGAGTGGCTGGTACGCCCGTGTGCCTTGTGTGTTGTTTGTTTGCTTGTTTTTTATTGTTGGTGTGTGGTATGATGCATGATGCTATGGGGATGTCGCCGTCTGTGAGTGTGAGATGATGTCTCCTGCACTGTACATCTCCGTCCTCTTTCCATGCCATGCCAGTTGCTGCTCTACCACGAGTGGAACGTTTTAGTCAATTGACATGCATGCTGCCTTCCCTCCCTCCCTCCCTCCCTCCCTCCCTCCCTCCCTCCCTCCCTCCCTCCCTCCCTCCCTCCCTCCCTCCCTCCCTCCCTCCCTCCCTCCCTCCCTCCCTCCCTCCCTCCCTCCCTCCCTCCCTCCCTCCCTCCCTCCCTCCCTCCCTCCCTCCCTCCCTCCCTCCCTCCCTCCCTCCCTCCCTCCCTCCCTCCCTCCCTCCCTCCCTCCCTCCCTCCCTCCCTCCCTCCCTCCCTCCCTCCCTCCCTCCCTCCCTCCCTCCCTCCCTCCCTCCCTCCCTCCCTCCCTCCCTCCCTCCCTCCCTCCCTCCCTCCCTCCCTCCCTCCCTCCCTCCCTCCCTCCCTCCCTCCCTCCCTCCCCCCCCCCCCCCCCCCCCCCCCCCCTCCCTCCCCCCCTCCCTCCCTCCCTCCCTCCCTCCCTCCCTCCCTCCCTCCCTCCCTCCCTCCCTCCCTCCCTCCCTCCCTCCCTCCCTCCCTTCCCTCCCTCCCTCCCTCCCTCCCTCCCTCCCTCCCTCCCTCCCTCCCTCCCTCCCTCCCTCCCTCCCTCCCTCCCTCCCCCTTCCTCCTTCCCTCTCTCCTATCCTGCCTCCCTCGCTCCCACCTTCTCTCTCTTTGTTCCCGCCCTGACCCTTCTCTCCTCATACTCTCCCCCACCCCCGTTTTTCGTCCCCCAGGCGGAGGTGCGGTTTCTGGGGGAGCTGCATCATCCGAACCTGGTGAAGCTGGTGGGGTTCTGTGCGGAGGAGGAGCAGCGCTTGCTGGTCTATGAGTTCATGTGCCGCGGCAGCCTCGACACCTACCTCTTCCGCCGTACGCCCCTGGGAGGGTACAGGGCTGTGGACCGCAACGATAAGATTTTTCCAGGCGGCAGGAGGGAGAAGGGGGGAGGGGGAATGCGTGATTTGGGCGAATGGAGGCGCAAGGGGGATAGTGGTGTTGTGTTGTTTGGATACACTGGCGCCACAAGTCAAGTTGCTCCAGTGCTTCCCCTCACCTCTCGCCATGCAAATGGCAATGCAACACAGCACTCAGCCATCCCTCATCCACCAGAACCCCCTTCCCGCCCTCCCTTCCTCCCTCCCCGTCTTCCACGCATTCTGCCAATGCAGGGAAGATCCAGCCAATGCCATGGGCGGTGCGCATGCGCGTGGCGTTGGATGCGGCGCGGGGGCTGGCATACCTGCACGAGGAGGCGGAGTGGCAGGTCATCTACCGCGACTTCAAGACCTCTAACATCCTCCTCGACCAGGTGCCCCGCCGTGCCCCGCCCTGCCCTGCCCTTCCCTGCTCCGCCCTGCCCTGCCCCGCCCTGCCCCGTCCTGTCCATTCAATCGAATTTCCTTTTTTTTTTTTTTACTATTAAATTGAATTAGGTTTCCTGAACCGTTTCCTCTCTCCTCCCCCATTCCCCCCCTCACACCCATGCGATCCCAGGACTTCAATGCAAAGCTGTCGGACTTTGGGCTGGCCAAGGACGGGCCGGAGGGCGACAAGTCGCACGTGTCCACGCGCGTCATGGGCACCTATGGCTACGCCGCCCCTGAATACGTCATGACAGGTGCGTCACTGTGCCTCGTGTACTTTGGGGCAGAGCAGCCTGCAGTGCTCATTTGTGTCATGATGCGGTACAGCATCTGCACTTGGAGGCTTTACAGTGGACTGCATGTGGTTAATTTCCATGGGCCTTTTCTCACTGAATGTTTTGTTTTTAGCTATGACTTACTCGTCCAACCACACCCACCCACCTCCACTGAGTCCTCACCCGAGCAACACATGACATCACTCTGTCTCCCCGCTCCCCCCTCCCCCACAGGCCACCTAACAGCAAAGAGTGACGTGTACAGCTTCGGCGTGGTGCTACTGGAGATGATCACGGGGCGGCGCTCCATGAACAAGGCCCTGCCGCCAGAGGAGCAGAGTCTGGTGGACTGGGCCAAGCAGTTCTACACCGACCGTCGCAAGCTCTTCAAGCTCGTTGACCCGCGCCTCGAAGGCGCCTACTCCATCCGTGGCGCGCAGAAGGCCGCCATTCTGGCGCAGAATTGCCTGCACCGCGACCCCAAGGCGCGCCCGCTCATGAGCGATGTGGTCAAGACGCTTGTGGTGCTGCAGAAGTATGATGACGTGGCGGCTGCAGGGGACTCCGGTGCTGCTGGCGCTGCTGCTGCCGCCGCCGCTGCTGGTTCTGGGGGGTCACAGAAAGCGGTGCCGTCAGTGGCGTCTGCTTCTTCAGTGAGCAGTGCTGGTGGTGCTGCTAATGGCGTGTAGCTGCTTGCGTGATGTTTCCTTTCTCCTAATCCTTTGCTGCTGCGTCTCCACATCCTGTGTTTTCTCTCCGCTCAATTTTACTGCTTGGTGTTTTTTCACCAACGCACTGGTGGTGAAGTGTTTGCGGTGCTGCCAGGGGTGCCGGCTTGCCTTGGGTCACTGGGCGCCATGCAGTGGCAGTGTGGATTCACACTTGTTTTGAAGTGTTGCTCTAGTGCTTTGGAGCTCCCTGTTGCTGAAAGGTAATGGTTTGTTTCAGAATTGCATTCACTTATGGCTCATATGGTATTGTGCACGGTATGAAGTGCTTTGCTCTGTACAAGAGTCCCGTTTTGTCCCATAGTCCCATTTTGTCTCTGTTCCTGCTAGTAGCCGTCCCTCGAGCAAAGGAATGAACAGCTCTGAGTGTAGCTGGAGAACACCTTAGGGCGTGTCCAGCGCGTACACTTTGGGTTTTTGACATAAATTTAACGTAATTGGGATCACGCACAGAACCAGTACCGCCAGGTGTAGCCTTTAGGTTCCGACAGTGGCGACAGCACTACTTTGTAACTTGAATTTTGCGAGCCTGCTCAGATTCTTGCGAAAATTGTCCTTGACTTCGCTGAACCGGTATTGCTGCAACTCGGACACGTGCAAGTCTGATTTTGGGTTTGTTACGTGCTTTTCGCGCCATGCCAACGATTCGACACACGTGTGGCCCGTGACGGTTGTTACGTAACGTAGGTGTCTGTGTCCAGAAAATTTGTAAAAACGTGGTTACACAATGAAAAAGTGGTAACTGTAGCGTAAGATGAGCTGTAAATGTACGCGCTGGACACGCCCTTCTCGAGGCGAACGCAACATTCATTACTGCCATCCCCAACATAACTTATTACTAGGCCGAGCAGGGGGCAGCCATGCGTGCTACGCGGCCCACGCCAGGGGCGCGGGGATGAGCGCGGATCCCGCCATGACGCGCGCGAACTCCTCCAGGTCCACCACGCCGTCGCCGTTGCCGTCCGCCGCGCGCACGATGCGCTCGCACTCCTCCATCGTCACGTCCTCGCCGGGGCCCCACAGCGCGCGCAGCACGCGACACAGCTCCTCAGCGGTGATCACGCCGTCGCCGTCGCGGTCGAAGAACGCGAACACAGATCGCAGCTCCTCCTGCTGCACCGCGGCCGCCGCTTCCGCGTTTTCCGGGTCGCACGCGGCTGCGGCGGCGTCGGCGGCGGCGACCGCGTTGACTCGCACGAACTCGTCGAAATCGATGGTCCCGTCGCCGTCCACGTCAGCCTGCGCCATCATTGCGCGGACCGCCGCTTCTGTGTCTTCCTCCCCGCTTGCCTCGCCGGTTGTTCGCAGGAGCGTCGCGAGCTCGTCGCAGGAGATTCGCCCATCGCCGTCGCGATCCATGAGCTCGAACACCTCTGCTAGCTCTGCCACGTGGCTGCTGTGGCCGCCGCTGCTGCAGCCGCGAATGTGAAATCCGGCGCTAATCGCACGACTTGCGCTTCCCTCGCTGCCGCTGCGGAACTCGCGTGCCGAGAATAACGGCGCGGCGGCATCGTTGCTGCTGCGGGAGGAGTCGGAGCGGTGCACGAGGCGGTCTGAATGGGCATGATGGAAAGGTTCTGGATGCGACTCGAGCATGACGAATGCGTTTCTTCTGTTAACCCAAGAGGCCGGACGGTGAGGCGATTAAACCGGTGAAGAGAAAGCGTTCTCAAGTCTCGTGCGGTACGAGGAGTAGCGTTACGGGAGTTGGGATCATGAAGAAGTCGGTGTTGTTGTGGGGGGGAACGCGCGAGGAGGAAAGAAATGGTGATATTTTGTGCATCGTGGCCAAACCTGTGATGTGAAGAGGAATTGCAATTCGGAAGAAGCAAGAGGGAAACAGGCAGCGCAGCGAAGGAACCGAAGCGAAGAAACCGACTCGCCTCCCCTAGCTTCGCCTCGCTTCGCTTCGTTTCGCGAGTCGCCTGGATTCCTCTCTTTCGTCGCCCCTAGCCTTGAAATTGGGCGGGCTGCAGCTTCTCCGTTTTGCAGGTCGGTCTCCGTCACCCAAGCACCGCGCGACCCCAGCCCGGCTAGCTGGCTATCTGGCTGCCTACGCGTCTGAATCAACCAGTCATTGCTGCCCGCGTGGCCGGCCATTGTACAGCTTCAACAATGCCGTGACGTGCCAAGCGTCCGTTTCATTTCGTTTCGTTTTCTTCGGTTTTTCTTGTTGCGTGTGCCGACTGCGAGACTCGGACAGTTTCATTTCAATCAGGCAATCTCAGCCCTGGGGCACGCTTGGGTGCGGCTTGCGGGCATGGTTGCATTCAGGGTCAGACGTTTTTCTACCTGAAAGGGAACACGCTGTACATCGTCCAAAATCTCTGGGCTGTTTTCATACTGTTTCTATGGTACTTGCCTATGTAGGGAAATGGTTTCATAAGCAATTTCCTCAATTTATGATACGAAGCATCAAAATCCACAAATGCTTTCCACTGAGACCTTTAAAGCAAACATCTACAGGTGACCCTGAAACATCAAGCTGCTGCTGGTGTAACACACTAAGGCTATGTACAGAATGTACAAACGAAGCACAGACAGCCACGATCGCCTTCAGCCATGTGCTGGGGCGGCCAGCATCGACACACCAAACTCACATCCACCAGCAAAAAACTCCAGATCACCATACCAACCCTACTCATCTAGGCCGAGTTAAGTTACAGCACACGAAGAATCAGGCTGGCAGCTGCTGTGCCGAGAGAGGCACCACCATAAACCACCTTGTTGCCATGTTGTTGCTTAGTCTTGCTGTGTCTTGGTACCAAAACCTAGTGACGATAGCAGCCACTCCGACTGCCTCCACACAGCACCCAAGATGGATGACGACTCGCCCGCCTGCTCCTGCCCTTCTTCCCCTTCACTCCCCAGCCCAGCACCAAACATCTCCCCACCCTCGCCCCACCCCTCATCCTCATCCTCGTCCTCCAACCCAAACTCATCCTCCACATACTCCTCTCCCTTGCTCCCTCCTCCCAGCTGCCTGTCCCTCATCCCAAGCCCACTGCCGCTGACGGACCCCGTGCCAAACCCTGCCCCGCGGCTCCCCCACCCCGGCTGCCACCCACAGCTGTGGCTGCGATGCATCCCCGCCACATGATGCCGCGCTGCCCCACCACCTGCACCCACAGCTCGCGCGCCCTTTCCGCTCCCCATCGTTTCCCCCCCTGCGTCCTCCCCCTCCTCCCCCTCTGTGACGCCCTTGACTGTGACCTGCGCCTGCGGGCCCATGTGCTGCCGCACGGCTGCCAGCACCTTTGGCACGTCCACGGGGCGGCCGGATGAGTCAGTGACGATGAACTCGTCCACTGCCGTGCTGCCACGTGTGCTCACGTTGGCCGCTGCCACGGACAGGTTGTGGCTGAGCAGGAGGCGCGTCACGTCGCATAACAGGCCCGCTCGATCGTTCACACACAGCTCCAGATGCACTCCCTGGCACAGGTGCAGGCACAAGATGTTGGGGAAAGGGAGAGGGAACCAGGGAGGAGAGGCAGAAGAGGGAAGTGAAGGGGCAGGGGAGCGAATGTACATGGAGATGCAGTAGCAGCAATAAGAAACATCCCTGGATAAATGGCGAACGAGCACTGGTTTCGCGCAGAGCCTTTGGCAGCACAATAGGAGCAGAGCTTACCTTGGGCGTGCGGCGCTCAATGGCTGCCTCGACACACTTGATGACTCGCTGCCTCTCCGCCTCTGACTCCAGTGTGCTGCCGTCCATCTGCCGTATGTAGTACTCCTGCTCACACCCACCCGCACAACGTCCAGTTAAACACTACAGCCTTTAGTGCCATCCAACATTGCCCCGATAAAGACGCAACGAACTACATCAATGACCTCACTCACAGCCACCAGAACCGTCATACATCACGTCTTCCCCTCCCCCTCTCCCCGCCCCCCCCAGCAACGATTAATCAACCCCCCTTTGAAGACTATTACCACCATCTCCCGCGGCGTACCTGCAGGCCCCAGCCGTGGTGGGAGGAGATGGCGCCGTGGTGCACCATGTACCCCATGTCCGTGAGCGTGCACACCGTGTCAAACAACAGCTTCGGCCGGTCCCGACACCGCACACGCACCACCGAGTACTGCCGCTCCACACTGTTGCGCACACTCACCCTCACACCACTCCCACCACAACTACCACTCCCACTGCCGCCACTGCTGCTGCCGCTTGCGTTGCTGCAGAAACCAGGCGCAGTGGAACCGGTGCTGCCACTCGGCCCGGCTCTCCTTGATCTCCTGCCCACCACCCCGCCTGTTGCAGGGGCCCGGGACCCCATCAGTCGCCCGCCCACCCACGCACCACCACTGCTGCCCCCACCCGTTGCGCCTGCACAGCCCTGCCGGCCCACGCCACTAGCACGTTCCTCGCCACGTGGCTCTGTTGAAACCACCTGAGAGAAAAGCCCTGATGCAGCCCAGCCCATAGGCGCAGTGATTGTAAGCCCAGGCGTAGGCCTGCTGGGGTGGGGCGGCAGGGCGGGGACCGCTGTAGTAGCAGCGTTAGTGGGAGAGAGAGAGTATGGTCCGCTCGCCACAGCAGCTGCTGCAGCGGCGGCGGCTGCCGCAGGAGGGTAAAGCGGTGGGGAGGAGAGAGTGGGTTGGGCGAAGACGTGAGGCGAGGGGCGGGGAGTATGCAAGGGCATGAGGGCGGGTCGAGTCAGCTGCACCCGCTGCAACCCTGTAGTACCCTCCACACCACCCTGCCTGCCCGCCTCGCTTCTGCCAAGCGAACCACCGCTCGCCCCCGCATCAGACGCCACGCCAGCTACACGGGGGAGCGTCGCAGGTGCGGTGGGGGCGGGGGCAGCATCAGCGGAAGCGGTGGGGGCGGCGGCGGCGGGCACGGGCGCAGGAGCGGTGTTATCCTCGTAGTCCCTGTCCGCGAACAGCAGCTGATGAAGCCGCCGCTCCGCGTGCGCCATTGTCACTGGCAGCGACGTGCTCTCCACGCCCCCCGCGCCGCGCTCCCCCCTCCCCCGCTCCCGCATGCCGCCGCGCCACGCCACTGAATCCCACTCCACGTCCGTCCAAACCCCTCCTGGCGGCGGCGGCGCCGCCTGCGCCCCGGCCTGTCCGCGGAGCATGGCTGCCTGCAGCGCGTGCTGCTTGTCCGCTGCCCGCTGCACCGCCTGCGCTTCTGCCCTCGCCGCCGCTGCCCCCTCCCCCATGCCCCGCCCTGTCTCCTCCCCACCCGCGACCCCGCTGACCTGCGCGGCAACCCCCGCCCCTACGACCGAAGCGCCAGCGGCGGCAGGAGCAGCAGCGGGAACAGTCTGTACGTTTGCGTGAATGTTTGCGTGCGCGTGCGCGTGTGGCGGGAAGGAAGTGGGCGCACGAGGAGGAAGCGGAGGGGGCGAGAGGCCTGGACTCAGCGACGAGGTGGGGGAAGCAGAGGAGGGGGGAGGCGGACACAAGGAGGGCGCGTCGGGCGGAAGGAGAGGTACTTCAGGACTGCTGGAAGCTATACCCGGCGCGTGGCAGGTAGCGGCTGGCGACGCACCGGCGGTGGCTGCAACAGGCCTCACGATCGCAGCGAGCTCCGCCCTGATCCGCTTCAGGCGGAGGGGGTCTTTAATCCTGCCCCCTCCTGCGGTGTTATCGGTGACGCACACGACGCACGCCACTCGGCCGTTGTGCGTCCACACCTCCGCGCCCACCACGTTGCACTGCGCCGCCGCCAGCACCGCCGCCACGTTCGCTAGGATGCCTGGCCTGTCCCCGCCCGTGATCTCAATCGTCGTGTGCGCCGCCGGCGCCAGGCAGCAAGAAGCGGGCGGCGCCGCTCCTCCGGGCGCAGCAGGGCTCGCAGCGCCTGCAGCGGCTGCGGCAGCGGCGGCGGCGGAAGCGGAAGCAGCAGAAACGGCGGAAGACGAGAGGTTTCCGGATTCAAAGAAAGGGGCGGTGCTTAGGGTCTGATTGGCGGAAATAGAGCGCGTGGGGGCGGCATACGCGGAGTGCGCGTGGTGGGGAGGTGCCGGTAAGTGCGCGGCGGGAGCGTGAGCGGAGCGAGAGGACGGGGAGGACGACGCGGGCGGGGCGACCTCTTCAAACGACGGCGCTCCCAGCGCCTACGGGGGAAAAACACAAGGTACGTTGGGGGAAGGATGCCCAAGAGAGTTTAGGGTGAAGACAAGCGAGCGAAGATGAGAGGCGAGCAGGCGATCGTGGCCGACCCATGGGACACGCACGGGTGTGGAAGGCGCCGTGGCGCGGACAGGCGAGAGTACCGTGAACGCAGAGAAGGCGACATGGCATGGAACAAGGCATATGCCCAAACGGTGCGACGATGATACGATGCGGTGCGGTGAAGCCAGCGCACGAGTATGGCGCACTGGGCAGAGAGAGCGAATACCTGCTGGATGTACGCCATGAGGCGCCTGTCGCGCAGCTTCTCCCCCGCTGAGTCCCGCACGTGGAACACTGCGTCGTTGGCACACGGGGCAAGTAGACGCGCGAGTTGAGGCAAGTTCACTGATGCGCGGCGGAAAAGTAACAAAGTCCCGTTAAGATTCCATCGACCGTCCCAACGAGCTGATTCTTTGCCAGAGTCAACATAAAAAGCGCGGAACGAGAAGGCTTTAAGTCGACTCAACAATCACGGCGCGGGGAAAGCGAGCATGCGGAAGGACGGATAACGCAGAAGCGGGGCGTTTGGACGGGCAAGGGGGGGCGGGAGGGCTGTGCGCGACTGACCATCGACGAACCAGGCGGCGTCGGAGGAGATGAAGGCCTTGGGAATGACGAGGTTGAGGTCGGAGAGCAGCTGCACCACCTCCAGCAGACACCCGTGCCGGCTCGCGCTCCCCACCTTCACCAGCGTCGACCGCTCGTCCGATACGTTGTCGAACACGATGCTGCGAGCGACGCGCGGCGGCAGGGCGAACGGATACCAGAAAAAAAGGGGGAAGAGAGGGGCGGGTGGGTAGGGGGGAGGGAAGAGTTGGGGAAGGTTGCAGGAGAAAGGAAGAGGCGAGCGGTGTGATAATAGAAAGTATCAGACGGCCCAATCGATGGAGATGCGTGAAGCGCACATGCTATTTCTGGTGCTATTTCCGCACATGCCTGGCGGAGCGCAATCGAGCTAATGGAGGCGGACAAGGTCGTCAGCGACGCACCTCGGGGGATTATTCCGGATGTTCAGGGCGCGTAGCTCTGCGGAAGAGAAGGGAGAGCACCACGATGCGCCGCACAGCACGACGGATCGACGACGGGAAGGGCATGGCGCATGGAGACGGGGCACGGGATCAGGAACAGACATCATGGCCAATCCGACCAGCAACAAACAGGGAAAAAAACGGGAATACGGGATTTGGAGAAGAAACTCGAGAGCAGAACACGTCCCAGTGCAGCATAAACACCGAGACGAGCGTGTTAGATCGCCTATAGCAAGCTCGAGCACCGCGCAAAGCGGTTCATCCCGTACCGTCAAATCCTCCCGCACGGTCCCGAAGGCACTGCGGCAACGAGCCCGACATGCACGTCAGGCGACTGGTTGGCGGGGTGGGTGGAACGGACGGCCATGATGACGCCATGTGGAAGATAGGGGATCGCGAAGCCGATACTGTTGTTAGAAACTGATGCGGCGCGGGAAACCAACAGTCGATCAAATGTGCAAGCGTTTCCAGGAGTTCTTAGTCTAAGTGATGACAAGGAGAAGCTAATCGAAAGTCACGCGCGAACAAAGATACTAAGTGCTCGAGATAAACAGACACGGACAATCGAACGAGGCGGCGAGGACGAGGCGAACTGTTACTACGAGGAAAATACTACGAGACGGCTGCACGCCATCCTATGCTACTGACTGGCTACCACAACCTGATCGGAGAGGGCTTGTGCAACGACACCAAACACCCCAAAGGTGGCTTGAAGACAAGTGACTATGGCTGCCGCTGTAGGTTTGCTTTGATGTGTACCGCTGGAGGCTACGCTTCCCTTCGCTGACCGTCGCAAACCAACGAACCTGTCAGGCTTTCGTCGGCCTAGCGACAATTTTCTGGGCCTTGATTCGTCTACATCTTCGCAGACGGATTCTGTCAAGCGCGAGAAGGGCTTCAGATGCTTGCGCTGCGGGTTTTCCAAACCGCAGCGGCGCAGGAGAAGCAGCGGAGCGTGTGCAGGTGGTGTAGGCAGGCGGGAACGGGGTGTGACGCGGAGTGACTGACGCTGGTTGGGCTCGGTTGGGTGGAAAGGAAAAGGGTTTTTAGTTATTGCGGAAGGGGTACTTCCGAACCTGCGCTTTCTAGGGAGCTTCATCTCTACCTGCACAGAGTTTCCCAGGTTTCGACGCCCAGACAGAAGACTTATTGCGCTGGGACAGAACTCGGCTCCACGTTTACCCACGTGTCATCATCTCGTAAGGCCTTAGCTGCTACTAGTCAGGCAAACGATGCACAACAGAATTTGTTTTTTTTTTCCTCTCTAATCCGCACTAAACTAAATCCCTCTCGGCTGGCAAGTGATGGGGGCATCAACCCTAAACACTGCGACTAAGTGTTTAGGGTTGATGCCAAAAATAATCCCTCTTGGTTGGCATGTAAATAAAGGGCATCAATCCTAAACACCTAATCGCGTGGAGTTTAGGGTTGATGCCCTCGAAAACTTGCCACCCGAGAGGGGTTTAGTTTTGTGCTTGCTGGCAGAAGACACCCGATGAAAACAGTGCTTGCGTGACGTGCGGAGAAGCCGAGTTCTGTGTTAGCACAATAACTCTTCCGCCTCAGAAGCGGATCAGCGGAAAGTGTGCGCAAGCTGAGATGAAAGTCCCTTGAAAGAAGGACAGCTACAGTAAGCCTTCCGGGGAAACTAAAAACCCAAAGGAAAACAAGCAATTGATAACTGGATCAGAGCGACAGCATGTCCAGCCCCTGGACACGTGGGTTGCCAATGATTCTCTATGCTGCCCGGAATTTCCATTCAGCCCGATGCGGTTTGAGGCGAGGGAGTTTTATCAAGAGGGATGAACGGCACCATCAGGTTGTCTTATCAGGTTGTCTTTTTTTTGGTTGCGTGAAATATGGTGAGGTCGTTGGTCCCAGGGTCTCGTTTCCGTGGTGCCAGCAGCGTGGTACGACACGAAGTGTTCTGTTCATACGTTTTAGTGTACTTCTCGTGTTGCTAATGTGTAATTTCTGGAAGTTGTGCTAATGAATATTTATAATTTCACACTATCCACTGCATTCTCATTCAAGCAGTGTATGCAAATCTCCACCAGCACCAATGTACAAGTAGTAACAGCTAGTATTAGCTCAGGGACACACCTCATTCATCCTCATGCAGCCCTACGTGATGTATCAACTATCTGACTCCTAAATCTGCTGCTGATTCTAGCTTGTACAAATTAAGCGGAGCACACTAGTGGCTCTCTGTGTCACTAATTAACTAGCCTAGCACTTCGCAGGTCGGTAGCTGCTTGGTTATGGGGGAACGTGTCAAAATTGCGGGCATGTGTGTAACCTAGAAGGAGTGGTAGGAGATGTAGGAGGAGGAAGCTGTTAGTGCGACCCATGGCGGGAAGACAGAAGCAATGTGGGCAACGTCGTCGTCCATTACTTGGTCCAGCACTGCCAGCTCCACATTCAACTGCTGCCCTGCCGCCAGCTGCACACATGAATTATTGTAGCCACGGAAAACAGGCGTGTGTGAGTCACAATGTGCATCTCTGATTGTCCAACTCAATGGCAAACGGTGGATAAGTACAAGGCAAGGTCACAGGGAGGAGGCACGAGGTGGCACGTGCGGGCAGAGAGTGTTACTGACCTCAACCCAGAATTGCCATTTGAAGCCGGGCCCACCGCCATTGTAGTGCACCATCAGGGACGGCGGGCCCCCTCTTGACACCTCGCGGGCTGATGGGTTGAGTGGGGGCGCACAGGAATGTTCCATGGTGAGTAAGAGGAGACTCATGAGGAATGGTTGGGTTGAATGGAGCAGAAATAATATGAGGGGAACGCGTGAGAGCATGCACAAAATAAGCCGCGTCATGAGTTGCTGCTGGGCCCATGCCGGATGGTGTGTGCAGCACAGTGAGCAAGGCGATGGGGGCACCTGACACCAGGCACGAGTGCGGGCAGGAGGGGGTAGGGCGGCTTACGAGGCAGAGTGGGGGTGAGGGACCAGGCGGTGACAGGGCCCGTGATGTTGAGCACTGACGCCCACACCTGCTCCAACGACCTGCTTTCAGGGACAAGCCATGGGCGACAGCACACATGGACAAGCACGAGGAGACGAGTGAGTGGGGGTTGATTGACCTGCAGTACCGATGAAGCACTGTCAACAAGCCCACGCAGGGGCATGGTGGGCAAAACCCGGAGACACATGCCATGGCGTGCACGTGTGCATGTGTGCATGTGGCATGGGTGGATGGGTGCGTCAGCGTGGGTAAGAAGCAGCGCCGTGGCAGGCATCGGCGACTCACCCAGCATGCACCTCCAGGTGCAGGCGGCGGCGCGCCTGGGGCAGGGTGGTGCCGTTGGGGGCGAGGGGCAGCGACGACGAGTGGTGGGGCGCGGGCGGCAGCATGGTGGTGTCGTTGATCACTTGGATCGACGGCAAGCGGAACCCCGGGCTCGACAGGCGCGGCGAGGGCGGCGCGGGGAAGGTGAAGGAGCGGTCTATGAGGTCCGATATGGGGTAGAGCGCCTGGGGAAGAGGGGAGCACGGCGAGGGGCGGGGAGGGAGAGAAACGGCAGAGAGGGATTAGATGAGGGCCAGTGTGTGAGGGCTTTCTGGAACAATGGGGCTGGAACACGGAACAGATGGAGCAAGGGGCGGAGCAAGTGGCGTGGTGGATGGCTGGCTGGGATGAGAGCAGTGTGAGGTGTATGACTCACGCGCAGGTTGGCCTTGCTGGCGAGGGTCATGGCGGAGTGGTTGCCTGGCTGGGCCAGCGCTGCTTGCAGCCCGGGAATGGTGGCGAGCAGGAAGGCCGCATCGTTGCAGTCCGCCGTGGCTATCGTGGTCTCTGCTCTCGTCACAGGCGGGTGTGTGCCTGGCAGCGTGCCGCATGGGGCGCGCACACACACAGGTAAGAAGGGGGCGGAGTGAGTGAGGGGAAGTAAAAGAGGCAAACGGGCAGTTCTTACTGCACTTCCCACACAGCTAGCCACTACCGTACAGTACAGGAAGTGCAGCCGCATTGACAACAGAATGCAGAACAGACCGGTCCAACAGCACGTAACAGCATGACAGGGAGAGCAGCAGTGGCGGGCAGTGAGAGCAGGAGCAGCAGCGCAGGCAGTTACCATCGAGGGAGCCGCCATGCGTGGTGTAGACACGCTGCATGACGACGCGCTTGGGCGCGTGCGTGGAGTAGGGGAAGAGCGTGCAGATGTGCGCCGCCGACACCACGCTGATGAGCAGCAGCGCGCGCAGGAAGGCCGGGTGCGCGATCCAGCGCACGAGGATGGGCGCGAAGGGCGCCACTATGATGCACACGGCAATGCCGATGAAGCACGCCATCACTATGTCCGGCACAAACAGACCTGGGGGGGGGACACGTGCGGAAGAGGGCCGAGGGGCGGGATGCGTATGGGTGGGGAGTGGTGGATGCATGCCAGCACGCGGCACAAGCGGGGCAGTGCATGCCGAGGAAGCAGAAGGCCGTGGGCAGTGAATCAAAGGGCGAGGAGCGAGTGCGCAAGTGAGTGAGTGCGTGAGTGAGCGACTAAGTGAGTGAGCGAGTGAGTGAGCGAGCGAGCGAGCGAGCGAGTGAGTGAGTGAGGGAGCGTGCAACTGACCCCAGGGCAGGGGCGCGGCGCCACTGGCGCCCATCTTCTCAGCGATGAAGAAGGTGTAGAAGGCAGAGAAGTTGATACAGTACGCACACGGCACCGCTGCTGGCACCACGTACCCCAGCAGTGCACTGGCAGTCGCAGGTAGGGGGCGGTGGCGGTGGGGAGAGATCAATGGCGGGAGGAAGGGGGAGGTAAGAGAGTGGGAGGAGAGAAGGACAGCAAGCGTTGCCGATGGGGCAAGAGAGCAGTAATGATGAATCGTTAAGAGACGATGCGAGGGACCAAGGACAAGCTCTAGATGGTGGGTTGTGGGTAAGGGCACGGACATGGGGTTGGAGTGGCCGAACTTCTTCTGCAGCTTGTTGTATATGAAGAGCGATGGCAGCAGCGACAGCGACCACCACACTCCGATGTAGCCCCCCCCTCCCCCACACAGGGTCACGATCTGGCACACGTGAGACACACTCTCACAGTTAGTGGAGATTGCAGGAGAAGCAAAAGCGAGGGAGAGGCAAGGGAAAATGGAAGGAGTGGCAGCAGGGGAGTGCATGCAGGGCAGTGGCAGCAGGGGAGTGCATGCAGGGCGGTGGCAGCAGGAAGGAATCAGCTGACCATGGCGAGTGAGACGTAGAACATGAGTCCCCCCCAGTGCGCCGACCAGCAGTATGCCACCTGCACGCCATGCATGCGAGGACAGCACACAGCCAAGCGGATTATACACCTTGCACTTATGCACGCATGCACATGCGCACACATGGCAGTGAGCTGGTGGAGCAGGGGCACAGCAGCAGAGACAGCAG